TATCACATAAACGAACGTATTAAGTATTTAATTAGAACTTGCAATTTGTTATTTACACACCTGAAATAAATCGTTATACCAAGTATTTTATAGGAAAAAAAAACAGCTAGAGGCGTAGAATTATTTTTTATTTTTTTTGGCAAAAACACAAACGTAGTGATATGCTTGTAACGTTCTCTCTAAAGCAGTTTTAAATCCTCACGTATGAGTTTATTGTCATAGTCGACAAAAACATAAAGAAACATTTAAAACACCCTGCAAATAAAATTTTTCTAAAATGAATATTTTGTCTATTTACAGATGGCAGAATGTATACATTCAATATATTCCAGCCTATTGAATCTGAGAAGAGTAGAAGAAAACAAACGAAAATGTGCATGAGTACTTTATACATGTCTTTGCGATTTGTGCCTCACAAAAGAATTTTTTTTCGGGATTCATGATTATATTAAATAACTTTATCTATATATATATATATAAATGAGAATGTTTGTTTGTTTGTTCGCTATGCAGCTAGGCCGTTCGACCAATTGCTACGAAAAAAGGCGGTTACGTTTATAAACCCTAACTTAGATAATGTCATACATCCCACCCCAAAATATCTATTGTGTTTCTGTAAATCTATTAATTTTTATTTATATTCGATTCGCTGATTTACACGGCAGGAAATTTAACAAAATAATACAATTAAATATAATTCTTATAAAATATAATTTTAAAATATATATAGTCTATATTATATTCACTTAATTACTGCGCCAATGATATAGTGCGAAATAGACACGCTGTCATTTACTGAACCAGGTAGCAAATAGCACTTGCCTGCATGTAATCGAAGGTATTACCCTGTAAAAAGTATATATGTATTTAATTTTTCACATCTAACGATTCGGGTGTTTTCATTTCTGAACAGTCCTTTCTTAATTCTAATAAGCGGCCTTCGGTAGCAGAATGCATAAAACCACCGAAATCTGGTAGTTAGTGGTAGGTTGGGGCATGGACAAGGACTGGCCACGGGGAGTTTTCCGGGTTTTCTTCACCTAAATATGGTTCAGCTTACCATAAAAGTTTTCTTGGGATGCATTCCCGGCAGTTCGCTAACGTGTCGCGTTGCTGTAACCAAATAACTCAAACTAATTCTAACGAGCGATTATTTATTGTGACATCGTCACAATGCCAGGATGCGACTTTTCGTCACCATTTTCTCAATATTTTTGCGCTGTCTTGGCCCTGTACGTTATATCAATACTTTTCCCGGTAGCAATAGAGTAGTGTCGGCCATCTATCTAACTTTATTCAGGGGACAATTTTGTTTCGAAGTAACGTGGCATCCATTCTAAACTTGTAGTTTCTGTATAGTTTATCTGTGCCTAAGTTTTCTAAACCTTGTCTTAATATCCATGTATCTGACTTATTTTTCGAGAATGAGGAAGGACAGACACAAACAGTAAAAATTCGTAGGTCTACAATATTTTTAAATTGCAGTTCCATAATTTTTCTACAAATGCAATATTTAAGAGAACAATACATCGCATATAATTTGTTGCAAAAATATAAATACTTTATTATAACATCAAATAATTATGGTATTTCTTAACCTACGCAAAAACATCTTATCTCACTGAGAATCATTTATTAACCGTAACGAACGTTTTCAACCTGTTTTACGGGCCATCTTCAGGTTTTTTAAAATCTTGCAATATTGATAACTGTTGTTTTTTTGTATAGAACACTTAAAGAACACATTTAAAATAGCTAAATATTCCAAAGAATTTTGTATTTGAATCCAAAGAATAAATTACAGTAATATATATACAATTTAAAATAACAAAATAATAAAATAGATTAAAAAAAAAGTTGGTTAAAGATTGAAAACGTTCGTTATGGTTAATACTGTAAATAATTCTCAGTGAGAAAGGTGTTTTTGTGTAGGTATAACATAAAAGCAATTATTCTCACAGTTTTACAAGTTTTTTTTATTTATTTATTTAAACAAGTCATATGAAGTCTTTCGGACATTAAGGTTAGCAACTCGATTACATTCGGAGCCATTACAACCTGTCTAACACGGATCACTTTTCAAATATTAATAGTAGTCCAGTATTAATCAGTAGTGATTGACCATCCTCTCTTCCAGGATGAGGTCAATGAATACTTTTGGTCGAATTNTGGCGGAAGGGGTCCCCTTCCGCCACGGTCCCTTCTTTCTACCGGATTCACTGGCATGGTGCCATTCGAATAGCAAAATTACATAATACAAGGTTACTGGCGAGCACAAAATATGACTTAATTGGTTTTCGAGAATGCCGAGTTTAAATATTTGGTCCGTTTTTAGAGAAATTTGATTCGTTGTCAGATGACCATTTGATATTCTGCTGTAAATGGTACAGTTTCTTAGAGGTAGAGAAAAAAATTAACTAAGATACCACATTTTCAATTGATGTCTACTTGACCAATGAAATTGTGTCATTTCGTATCTATCGAGTACCGTGATAAAAATGACAATGGTAGACTAAAAGAGAAAACTATTTATATGGTTTTCGTTTTAATATTTATCATATCATAGTATAAAAATTATATAACTACAAAGGTTATCTTACCTAAGGGTTTACGACATTACGACATTTGGTGTTTTAAACCTTTATATAATTACGAATGTTATCTTACGAAAATCAAATACTATAATGTAATATAATAGAATTGTTAGAAGTACGAAAGAATCTAATAATCTTAATGTTTGTTGTTATTTTTGCCCGAACAACGCTAGAATCATCTGTTAGTAATCTAATAATCTTAATGATTAGAAACTAATTAATTTATCTAGAAGTAGGCTGTTCTGCCGCCATCAAAAATTCTAAATTAAAAATTGATTTATTAAAATTAACACGAGATAGCGTCATAACTGCTACCTTTTAGTTTAATCATTAACTTATCCATATAATAGCGCACTAATTTGCTCTTCGTTTGGTCTAACTAATAAATCGGGTTTAGAGATGATTTAAGTTCTTTAATACCAAGAGTTTTATTTATTGTTATTGTTAAAAAGTTTTTGTGTGTTTAGAACATTATTCCAGTTTTGTTATTAGATTTTGGAAACAACCAGAAAACTCCCAAAATCAAAACCATTCACACTTTTCCAGCAAATAGGTTTATTCATTAATTAAACGAGCATACAAACGTTTTGTGTTTAATTTATAAACTCAGGTTTATAAATTTGCTGAAAAAGTGTTGAATAATTTTGATTTTGGAGGTTGATTTATAATAAACATAGCATTTAGAATTTTAAATATATTGCAACATATTTTTTTTATTTTTACGTAAATTTCATCATTACTGTATATACTCTACTATTTCATTTCATATTATTATTTGTAATATGTTTTTATTTAATAAAATATAATGATTTCTTGGATTAAATATTTGTTGTTCAAATATTTAATTTGAACTAAACTGAAATTCAAATTTGAACTGAAGATAAGGCAAGCTCAAAACTATCAATTTTATGTTTATTTTACTTGTTTTATTTTTGAATTTTGTTGTATGTAAATTTCGTTTTATGATATGCATTTATATAGATAATCTAGTTCCATATCTTAAAATAATTAAAATAATGCCACTCTAGGTTGAATGTAATCTAAGTACATGTCATTAAACTATGTTATTTTGTTATAAATATAAAACATTTCGTGTTTCATATTCAGCTATATTATTAATAAACTGAATTTTTTATATCCATGCATAGATCCAACGATGATGCATTACAATGAGTGTAAATCATTTATTGAAAGTTACACATTTAAATATAGAAACTGATTTTATGTTTTTTTTTTTCAGTTTTTAAAGGATCAGTTTCAATTATTGTACTGATATTGAAAAGATGAATATGTAGGAAAAAGATAGCAAATTTATAATTTTCAAAGAATATCATGATTTAAATTTTATCATGATATTTAAATTTTATTTACTCTAAAAGTCAATGAGTCTAGGTTAAATTCATTAATCTTTGCTATTATAATAGCATTATCTTTGCTATTAATGTTTGCTAGTTATATACAAAAATAATGTTATCTAAATATTAGAAAGCAATTTCTTATATGTAACTACAGGATGTTTTTAAAACTTAGTCAATGATCTGGATAAAAATAAATTTAAAAAATAAACAATAATGAGAAAGTATTTATTGTGACATCATCACAATCTGCAATTTTTAATCATATTTTTAATTTATTTAACTTAACTGGTTTCCTATCTGGCCTCATATCTAACTCCATTCTTGAGATTAACGAAAGAAAGACAGACAATGGACAACAGTGGAAATTTTTAGGTCTAAATTTTTGCAGCCCAATAAAATTGCTTTCTTTTATTTGGCTTATATTTACTATTAAATTCATAAAATTAACTGCATTTTGAATAATACAACATAGAAATAAAAATGTCAAAATAAAACTAATTTTAAGTTCATTTTTATGTAAATGTTAAAATTATTCTTGGGAACATCTTTTCTAGTGAGATTTTAAGATCTATAACAATCATATATGTTAACAATCTAATCTGCATTGGATCAAATTAACAATCACCCAATTAACTTGTGTTGCAGTGAAAATTGTGACCTCTTTAGATCAGTTAGCTCAAGTCCATTAGCTAAAATAAACACTAATAAATCAATTTCTATTGTTAATCACAAAATCTTACAAATCCATATTTATAATGACAGACTTTTCTATTCTAAATATCAAAAATAGTTGAGTGATATCAGAAATTCTGTTGTTGCAAATGCATTTATGTTGTAAAGTGCAGATTACATTACATTGTTATTACTTGCACCTCAAATAAACCTTGCTTTAATATTATTTTGTATAGATGTGTATATATATGTATATTATTAAAAAAATGCAAAAATTTTTAAAGGTTTTGTAATGAACTTGTGAAAATTAAGTTCTGTATTCAGTATTACAGATTTTACATTCAATAATAAACTATACAAGTGACAAAACAATAGGTTATAAAAAATGTGCAAAATTTAATATTTCATCTCATATTTTAAATAATTTATCACTATAATAATAATATAAAGCTCTGATATTTCCAAAGTTGGATTTTCAGAATATTGCAATGTTTGACGATATTACAGAATGGTGAGAAAATACAAAATAATCAAACTTAAGATCTGAAAGGCCATTCAATAAATTGCAGAATTAAACAAAAAAATACTTTTCCAGTTCCTCAGAAACAAAACATATAATTTCTGATGTATATTTTATTTTCTTGCTTGGTCATAATTGGCTATAAACCATTCTACAGTTTCACTGATTGCTGTAAAAAATTAATTTTAGTCAAAATATAAAATATTTTATTATTTATTTACAGAAATATATAGCAAATATTAATATTACCTGTCCTTATATCTGTAAATTGAAAGTCTGGTAAGTATCTCCTTAGTTTGGCATTGCTGGCAGTTTTCTTATATTGTCCATCAGATTTAGTACTGTCAAACTATTACGTTAAGTACTTATTTAATACTGAAAATATAATTATTCTTACCTGAATAATTTAAATACATTAAAAGCTGTTTAATGGTCAAAATTTTCAATTTTAAAGAAATTATTTTTATTATCTAACTCTTCTGGAGAATAATCAGCAATGTTGTACTGTCAAGTTACTTCATGGATAATGAAAGTATTAGCTTAACAAAAAAATTATAGACTAAATAAGTCACATCACAAAAAATCTATTATCTATTCAGCCTTCAAGTTACAGCATTAATTATAATTTAGATTTTAGCTACTGTTAAACTAAAAAATTTCCCTTTTCTAAGGTTATCTTTTACAATTGGTTTCCAAAAATTCTTGTTTTTATGCTAGACAGTTTTTGAGTTATAATAGTATTTTATGTTAAATCTTGGAATGGAATGATTTATATGTTTTGCAGGGACAGCCATCTGAGTGCAGTGAGTGCAAAGCTTCTAAAACTCAAGTTTTATGAGAGTCCCAGAAAAAGAAAAAGCCAAAGTAAAAATTTTTAATAAAGTTAATTTTTATTTTATAAACTCAATCTTTCATTTATTGGTTTGTTCCAATTTTTTAAACTAATATGTTCTATTTTTTGCATTCTAATTTGGTTGTGTATTCAGACCTGAAGGTTTGTTTAAGATCAAAAACATTAGTTGATAATAAAAAAATTTTCAATTAGAAAGATTTTGTGGACATTTTTTATTGTTTGCACTAAACACTGACTAAGCTGGCCTTGTCTAATGCATGTCAAACTTACCTTGATCATGGAGTCTTAATATTTATAAATAATTTTCATGTTTATCTTATGTGTTCCTGATGCCATCTAAAATCTAATATTCATATCTATGAATTTGTGTTCTAACATCATTTCCTGTTAAAATCAGAAGTACAATATCAATTATTGTTCTATTGTGCTTGTATTGTAAGTCTAAGCATTTCATATAGGTCTGCTTGATACACATTATATTTTGCTGTTTTAGCATATGCATATAATGTATAGTCTATATACTGTATGAGGGGTGTTCAAAAAGTATCAGACCTTTACTTTTCCTGCATAAACCAATGATGCATGGCAGGCCTCCTTCGGAGATGTGGGGGGAGAGTCATGCGCAATCCTGAATTTTTTCCTGCCCACAGGAAGCGTCAGTCGCTGGCAGTCGGCCTATGAGTGAGGACGTGTAGTGAGCACTCATCGGATTCCAGTAAGCTGGAAAATGACTGAACAAAATGAGAAGCGATATTGCATCAAATTTTGCCAAAAGCTTGGCTAAAAGGAACCCAATTTGAGTCAAGACATCATGCAGAATGTGACAGACCAGCTGATGGCCATTCCAAAAGAGGCGTTCCAATAGTGTTTCCAGCAGAAACCATTCGCAAGATTCAACAGGCTTTTGGGGACGATGCCGTGAGGAACACACAGATAAAGGAATGGTACAACCGCTTCAAAGGTAACCGCACATCAGTGGACAGAGAACCGCATTCAGGCAGACCCTCAACAAGCCAAAATGAGACTGTCATTGAGCAAGTGCAGACTTTGGTCACGGTGGACGAACTTGCGAACGAGACAGGAGTAAGCATTGGATCAGTACATTCAATTTTGACCAAGGATTTGGGTATGAAGAGAGTGTCTGCGAAATTCGTACCGAAACTGCTAACAGTGGAGCAGAAGCAAAGATGTCTGGAAATTGCACAGGACATGCTGGACAATGCAAGCACTAATCTCTTTTCCAAAACACCGTAATTACAGGTGATGAGTCGTGGACTTATGGGTAGAACCCAGAAACCAAGATGCAGTCATCACAGTGGAAAAATTCGACATCTCCAAGGCCAAAAGAAGCGTGTCAAGCAAAAGTTGGCAGCAATGTCAAGGTCATGTTGACAGTTTTTTCGACTCCTGTGGAGTGGTGCATCATGAGTACACACCACAAGGCCAAACCATCACAAAGGAGTACTGCCAGGAGGTCCTTTGTCGTCTTTGTTATGCTGTGCGATGCAAACAACTGGTTCTGTGGTCAACCAAAACTTGTCAGCTCCATCATGATAACGCACCCCCCATTCTGCACATCTAATTCAGACTTTCGTCGCCAAACACAACATTCCTGTGGTTTGTCACGTGCTGTATGACTTTTGGCAATTTCCCAAACTGAAAATGCTGCTAAAAGGAGAGAAGACATCATGCAGAATGTGACAGACTGGCTGATGGCCATTCCAAAAGAGGCGTTCCAGCAGTGTTTCCAGCAATAGCAGGAGTGCTGGGAGAAGTGTATACATTACCAAGGAGACTACTTTGAAGGGGATTAAGGTTTTGTACCTCAAAATCAATAAATGTATTTTTGCTGACCAAAGGTTCGATACTTTTGAACACATCTCATATATGTTGACAAATGATAATCCCTATTGTTAGCACAAATAGTTATTTTAAGGACTATCTACAGTTACTATAAAGAAATAACTTAAGGCACCAGCAAAGCAAGCATATGCTTTGGGTAACGCATTTTCCAGGGAAGCATTTCTCCAAAAATAACTTTATAAAAACAAAAAACTTACAATTAAAATTCAACATGTGGACAGCCACTTGTCAGGTATCAAAGCTATGCAGTAAACAAAGTGACAGATTTTTAATTTGTTTACATAAGATGGCATTCTCAAATGATCCAACTAGAGTATGATGGAAGGGTCCTCTTAATGGGACCCACATGGCAGCAACCTATTGAAAAAGAGACAAGAACAAGGTCTATAAACACAAAGGTCAGGTCACCAATGATCCTTATGGAATCACCATTTTGGTTTCTTAGTTCCATGCCTATGATATAGATTTGATGCCTGTACATGCAACAAAAGGCACATTCCTTCATGTTTAAGCCATGAAATTCCTTATGTAATACCAAATAGTATCTTTTCATTTAGAGATTATTCTAACATTTACTTCAAGGCTTTAACTATATAGATTTATAAATAAAAAGTTATGTCAATGGTTGGTATAATACAGTACAAGGATACAAGGATAAATTTATTTAGTTTTGAAATGGAAAATTAAAGTAATTTGTAGATACTTGTTAAAATATAAATATATTTATTCTTATATAAATTTAATAATTATTTTTTGTTTAATTAACTGGCNTATACATTATTACACAAACTGCATACAGGATCTTAGATCAAACCTGTTTATAAATTAACATTAGATAAAAAAAAAAGAAAACTGTTTTCACGAACTTTACATATTACCTAATTGAACCTTCTAAAGTGTTTGCAAGAGATAATTTCCTTTGTTTAGAAATTTTCTGACGCAAATAAACTAAATTTATTTATTTTTATACACAATTGAATAAGTACATTTATAAAGTTTATTAAACAGTAGGCAATACCAACAAATAAAAATATCAACTTTCACTTTATTTTTTGTTTGTTTTATAATAAAATGATTATTAAGCAACAATAACTTTGTTTAGAAATTTTCTGACGCAAATAAACTAAATTTATTTATTTTTATACACAATTGAATAAGTACATTTAAAAAATTTATTAAACAGTAGGCAATACCAACAAATAAAAATGTCAACTTCAATTATTCTGTTGTTTATCTAAATATATAAAATTACATGTCTTGACTCACTGACTGACTGATTGATTCATCATCGCCCAGAGCAAACCACTGAACCTAGAGGTGAAATTTGGTACACAGTTAGTGTGCATTTTCATGACATACCCTAAGAAGGGATTTTTTGAAATTCCCCGTGAGGGTATAGGGAGAGGATTAAGGGTTAAAAAGTCTTAGTCCCGAAAGGCAGTACCATAAATGTGTTTTACAAAGAGGTACTGGGGTAACTGAAACTCTATTTTTCAGTAAATATTTATACTTTAGGAATTTTCAGATAACGACATTTATGTTTCGAAAAAAAAAATTGAACTCAGATTTATCATATCCCGGAATCCCATAATATTTGAATCTTGAATTTAGGTGCATTAGCAGTCCATAGTTTGAAACAAACAAAATTCAGTAATTTTACCAAATTAGTAACAACTAATGATTGAGAATCTTAGTGAAGTATTGAGGGAGGGCTATTTCTATCAAATTGCAAAATCCGCATGGGCAAAGCCGCAGGTAACAGCTAGTTTTATAATAAAATGATTATTAAGCAGCATAATTATTCATTTAAATTATCTAATTTCTACTATATTACATTATTCTCAATTATTATAAAATATTAATTTAAATGACTGAAAGCTTTAATTTCAAATCATCTTACTTAAAAATTTTAAAGTATAATTTCAGTCTACAAACAACACATTATAACATATTTATTTTGTTAAATAATTCACATTATGTTGTTATACAACCTCTCAGAAAACAAACTTCACCACAATACAGTATACAGATTGGTACTGATGCTTTAATATTGTAATTACAAACAGTATTAAACCATTGAAAAACTCAAACTTCTTTAGTCAAAACTTATAGTTACTACAGTACAAAAGATACTATATTCTATTTCTAAATTAAAAAAATGAATATTATTAACCACTGCAATACAAGGATATATTTTATTTGGAAATTCAAAATCTCAAACTCCTAGTTACAATGAACTGATCACAGTACAAAGATATATTCTATTTTCCAGATGAAAAACTGCATCTGGTAAAAAGACCATCTACTTACTAGATGCAGTTTTTAATCCTTTTTATCATTTTTTTTTTGTGAAGATTTTGGACATTATAGCACTGTACTTGCCTAGATTTTACTTACAAACTTACTTATAAAACACAGACAATGTATTTGTTGTGAAGCAAATGCATTGTGTTTTATCATTCAGTTTAAGATCAACATTATAGAAAAGTTTTACCAACAGATGTAAAATTTATCAAATATAATAACTAAAAGTATAATTTAAAACAAAGGGATGACATATTTACAAATATACACATTTATTTACAATAAGTTGCACATTTATTTTTGTATATCAGCTGCAAAAATTTCTCTCGTCTGCTCTTTTAACTCCAAATTGTGACTCCTCAAAATGTATCTAAAAGATTCAGTTACATTATATTATAAAAGTTACTGCAAATACTTTATAGAGAATTGCAAAAACTGAGATAGAGAAACTGCAAAAACTGAGATAGAGAAATATACTGCAAAAACCGAGATAGAGAAAAAACAGCCAAATTCACTCTATAACCATTGTGTACACAAAGACAAACAAACAAATATGGCAACCTCTGCAATGTATCACTGTACTGTGTCTAGGTCTTGTGTTTATAGACCTTAATAAGAGAGTCAAATGATGGAGACCTCTAGCCTCAAAACATACTGAAGGTGCATTTTGGTACATTTGCCAGAACAAAGGCAATGTGGTGAAATATTAAATGTGAATCCTTGATCTTCACATTTTATATTTGAAGTATTAGGGTTAAATTTTTCTTATTTTGTTTGTTTAAACTATTTTGAAAACAATATATATATATATATATATATATTCCAGACAAATAATATAGCCATCAATTTATCCTAAATTAGAGTTTAAATACTCTATTTCCTTAATTCTAAGCTACACCATGAATTTGAAATTAAATTTATAAAATACTTTTTATTGAGAAAAACTTTCTAAATAACACAAATTAAGTTTTGTTAAGTAACAAGTTAGAAAAACAAAAGAAACACCATAAACCTGGTATTTTCATGTTTTTCTGAAAATATAGTAACTATTTATTTTAATGTTGCAACATAAATTTTGTCTTAAAGGGTATTTTAAATTGTTAAAAATGAGTTTAAATTAAATATTTATCATCAGCATCAGTAGAGTTCATTTAAACTAATATGAATGTTGATTAGTAAAGCTAAAAAATGCACATTATTGGTGCTTAATGCATTATACGATCTGCTAGTTGTAATTTATAATTGTTATTTCAAACTACAAATTTATAATGTCATCAATTCTGAGACATACCTCTTCTTCAGAAAAAAAAGGGTAAAAGAATAGTATGTTTTAGAATTGAGGAACACAGTAAAAACTTTTAATACCATATGCTTTTGTGGATATAACCGTTTCTATTATTAACTAGCAGGTAGGCCCAGCGTTGCTTGAGCAAAAGTAACAATAGCAAAGATTAAGTTTATTACATTATAGTCAACCTTACCCGTTTTCACAGAATGCAAGAATTGGGTCCCCCGTTTCCAAACTAATTAGAGAATTTTTAGACGTGTCTAAAAATATGTTCGATTTCTTGCAAAAACAAAAAACTGCATCTGCATCTTGCACATCGCTTTCTTTTAACACTTCCATTGTTGACACATCCATTGTTGACACTTCCATTGCTGATGGAAGTGTTAAGCCTTAATCCTGTCCCTCTCTTCCGTTCGGAGGAATTTCAAAAAATCCCTTAGTGTGCATTCTTGTGACGTACTCTGTGTACCAAATTTCAACTTTCAACTCCTAACCATTTTCACCATTTGGGTTCTGTGCTTATTATTATTATTATTATTAACCCATCTCCATTATGTATATAGATTAAAATATAAACAGTTTATTAATATTAATAAAATTATATTATTGATCATTGATAAAAACATAAAAATTATATTTATAATAATTGAAGCCATATGATTATTGGATTATATCTTTAAATATAAAACATTATCAGTAGCAGTAATGTAGTCAGATTTAATCTGATAATCATTTGGTTTAATATAAATCATCAGGCTTTAAGATGTTTATATATATATATATATATATTTATGATAAACTGACTTCACTTAAAATTTTTATTTTTCTCGGAAAAGTTTTTTAGAGAAATGAACTCATCGTTACACAAGAGAATTTAAAACACTCAAGTCTAATTAAATTAAATAATTATGTTAGACCTTATCAAAGGATACAATAATTTCATCAGTAAAATTAAATGCTTCTGCTACCATCATTGCTGCAGACTTGATACTTATTTCATCTTCTTCATCCACTGAAAAATATAAATTATATAAATTACAAAACTGAATAAAAACATATAAAACAAATAACATTCCAAAATTAAAAACTGTAAAAGCTAAAATAAATTAAAATTATAGTCAACAATTCAAAACCCAGTATACACAGAAGGGCTATAAATAACTGACTGCCTGCATAAAATAGGACCAAATCAATCAAGACCAACAGCAAGTACTTCATCCACTTTCTGAAATATTGTTTCAATAGATTTGATTTCAATTTTAATTTTAATTTAAAATTAATTAAATTTTATTTTTATTTTTGCTATAAAGATCAGTTTTAGTTATTTTATTATTTTTAAATTTAATAATTATTTTTTGTTTAATTAACTGGCTACATAGTATTAATAAATATTGGTATTATAATATGTAATATTATATTAAATTTTTGTCATTTAATTTAACTGAAGTATGTTTAAACACAAATTCATGAATGTCAATTAATGCAGTTTTTATTAATTAATTTGATTTAAAATCAACTGTGGCATGCACCGAAAAAATGGAAACAGTATTTTTCTGGCATGCAAAATGTAATTTAAATAGCAACATCATTGATGATTCTTTACGTGAAGCAAGTCAATCTCAGTGCCACTAACATCTGAACCACTATCCTGTTGTTGATTAGTCAGATCATCAGTTTTCTTTAACACAAGAAGTGTAGGAAAAAGCTAGTTGGCAGAGCCTGCAATCAGTGGCAGGCTCTGCCAAGTAGCTTGTTCGGCAACAGGGGCAAATATGGCACTCAAAATTCTGTTCCTAAACCAAATTCAAAAAGCAAGGTGTTCGAAACCTGAGGTTTGACTATATATATATATATATATATACATATTTGTAATTTTGGCCAATGCTATATTATTATATAAAGAAGGAAAAGATATTATTTTTTAAATATTTCTTAAAAACATTAAATTTACAAGAAAGTTTGCAATATTGTTTTCTACTTAATCAATATTTTATAGGTGATATAATCACTGACATACAACTTGTTAATGCAAGAAATAAAAAACCACTTAACAAGAATAAGTTTTGTTAAAATTAATTAATGCAAAACTTATTCTTGTTAAGTGGTTTTTTATTTCTTATATCAGAGGTAATATTACAAATAGTACTGATATCATTTTTAATGTCACCTGTAATGATATAATCACATTTTATGAAAAATACAAATTATAAAAGTGTGCATCTCTGCAAATATTAGAAAATAATAATAACAACTATCATAAATAAATAAAAATTTATTTATGATATTTGTTATTATTTTGTATTATCTTATGATTATGTTTCATAATCAAATATACATTCCTATTAGAACTGTAGCTAATGTAGAGTCAATTCATTCATTGTTTGTACTCTTTCAAAATACTTTTATTAATAAAATGTTATGATAGACAAATAAATATTTAATCATAAACAGATCTAAAAAGAATGCTTTAAAATAAGATTTAACTTTTCCTATCAACATTCTGTTTCTATTATTCATTTAAATAAATAATAATAAGTTCAAAAGAAATAGTAGGTTGCCTAGAGATTTAATTATATAAGTAAATATCATTGTCATAATTATTATTATTCACAGTTCATAATTATAATATCAGAAATAAAATAATTTAAAAATGTATGTACCAAAATTCTTCTTACCAGATAATATTATAGGTTCTACTTCCTCATATTCTCGTAAAACCCATATTATAAGTCTTGCCAAATCATACGAATAAATAAACTGTCGTAGAGGATTGCCAGTTCCCCATACAATCAATGGTTCTTGTTTCACTAAAAATTTGTATTATTATTATTAACAACATATTAACAAAATAAAAAAACTTGCTTTCTTACTTTTTGCCAAAAATGTTTTATGTATCAATCCTGGGAGTACATGTCCATCCTCAAGATTGAAATTATCATGAGGACCAAAAACATTTGTAGGGATCACAGCTGTAAATTTACAACCATGTTGAATGTTATATGCATGATTCTGTATATCAATCATTCTTTTTGCATAAGAATAACCAAAATTAGATGGGTGGGGTGGTCCATTGTGAATCTGAATTTCATAAAAAAATCATTAACAAATTCATTATTTTATAAATATGTTTCAAATAATTTATCAGCCTTTATCATTCATTCATTCATATATTTGATAATATGATTGTTCAGTTTGATATTCTAAAAGTTTACAAATTCTAAGTAATCATACATACAAATGACTTAAAAAATTTGAACTGTAATTAATTTTTTAAACTCAGAAAGAATATTTTAAAAATTAGATAAATTGAAAGCTTTTCAAATGGGAAGAAAAATTCAAAAATCATCCAGCTATATAGATACATAGCCAATGATTGCCTTTAATATTTGGGCTATAAATCCACTAATTAACAGATTTTTAGACAGAATACTAAAGGCGACCGTTGGTTTTGTTTGTATATATATATATAAAACTTACAGATTTTAATCTAATTATATAATATATTTAATCTCATATAATTATAAGATTATAGGATCTACATATTTTATGTATGTGATTTTTATGTTTTATGATAATGTGAGATCCGATTCCAGTATAATCTAAAAACAAAAATTGTTCATTTTCTCCCTAAATTTTCGAGGTATTTGAAATAAATTTGTCGCCTCCGCGTTAAAATAACATTGTCGAAAAAAGAATCAAATGTCGATGGAAACTGATAACATTCTGCTTTGGTATAAACATTCAACCCTCGAACAATGACATTCCCCTGCTGCAAGACAAAAAGTTTATAGTTAAAGTCCGAATTCGTCATTTTGTTTTGGATCCCGGGAACAACTTTAACCTCCACACCTGCAGGACCAACCCTATCTCTCACAATAGGTGATCACATGATTGATTTTCCCAGCCCGAAGCTATAAAAGCGACTTCTTTCCCCCTCCTCGGGGGAGTCTCACATCTACCGTCCAAAAAGATTAAGTCGTCGGGAAACTTTAACTTTGTGCGTCGAACTCTGTGCCTACGTTGGAATCGACTAGAGGTATGAAACGATGAATTGTAAACTCTCTCTCCGCGAGTTAGGAGTTAGGCGAAATAAATTCATTTCCCCATGTTAGATTTTGTAACCTTCATTTTATTTCTTCGTTAATCTAATAAATCGTTGTTTCCTTGTCAAATGGTATCCTTTTACTCGTATATCGACTACGCTTCATCGATGACCCCTCTCACCTCCTCCACTCGACCTGACAACAAAAATCCCGACCCTTCGGGACCGCATCCGAAATTTAGCCATCTTGACAAGTGAGCAGGTTTAACGACCTGACGCCGAAAAGGGAGAGTCGACGGTTTCCGACCTCCCCGGCGGTTCACAATAATGCTTTAATAAAAGTATAATTTAATTTTAATTTAAGTACTAATTATTTAACTAACTAGTCTACTAATTATTTTTACATCAACTCAAAAACATGTGTGAAGTGTTTTATACATTTGTTCTGCTTTTTCTGAAATGTTTATTCAAACTTTTATACAATATTTTTTTCTAGAGTAATTTTAAAAATATTTTAAGTAGTTCTGTAGAAGGTTTATCCTAAATTTCATTATTTGTCATTTTTAATGTTTATCTATATTCAAATATTTTGGATGTTAACTCATCCAAAGTATTTGAATATAGATAAATATAGAAAAATAGAAGCACTGGAATCTCTCTGGAATGGAAAAAATCTTGATAAATAAAACAAACACTCTCCTTGCAACTTTAAATCAATATGAAAATGAAAGGCTGACGTCTGATCATTTTTAATAATGTAATATTTACCTATTGTTAATTGTTTTTATGAAGTGATTTCTTCAAACCAATGTAAAAGGTGTACTTCTATGGTGTGTGAAAAGGATGAATTGATAGACTCAAAAATTAAATTAATTTTTTGTAAATAATCTGAACTTCTAATTTATAATTTGGAACTCAATTTCACATTTATTTTCACATTTTCACTTTGCGGTCCTTATCTGTTCTTCTTCCGTTATTTACACATGTAGGTCATTTCATTGTTATCCACATTTGATATCATCACTTATCACATACTGCCATGACGCGCTTGTCTGAACTGTCAAGAATTAATGCGAGTGGCAAAGCATAGTGACAGTGAGCCAATAGAAAGCAGGGTCCTTGCCATAATGCGGTTTGCACACCAATTTTCGTATGTGTGTTAATCAAGCCGAATAGTTTGGCCGAATATTCGGCCATGCTCCTGGCCAAATAGGCCTGAGGCTGAATATTCGGTATTGTAATTATAAATTGTGAATACAAGTGACTAATATTATGTTCTTTTTTATTTTGTGCATGTTATAAGTTATAAATAAATATAAACAAACAACACTAACCTGATAACATTAAATCTAAATACCAAAATGATTAATTTACTGTGTTTTTGTTATTTCTTACTCATTTTTAGGTATTTGGTATTTGGCCGAATAGTGATTAAATATTCGGTATTCAGCCAAATAGCGAAAAATAGGTTGAATCAACCATCAGGCCATTGCAACACTAATAAAATGTGTTCGTGGCCTGCTATTTGATCCATTTAAGAATATTTAAGTAACTGATTTTTGTATTTAGAATTTTGGATTAAATTTCAGATGCGTATACTGTCATGGCAGCAGTCCCAACTGTATGTACTCCCATCGGATTGATACATACTAGTTATTGATACTAATGTGTTCAAGAACTACCATGAATCAATAGAGAGGTTGAGGCGCACGTTTTAAACGTGTAAACGTGTACGTGTGACGTTCGGCGCCGCTTTCCCGTAAGCCTAAAAGTTTGACAATGGTGTTTGGATAGTCGGTGGAATCACGCTCGACATTCCAAACACCATCGTCAAACTTTTAGGCTTACAGGAAAGTGGTGCCGAACGTCACACGTACACGTTTACACGTTTAAAACGTGCGCCTCAACCTCTCTAATAACTAGTGACATTTGGCTTAAGGCAGACTACCAGTGGCTCCCCTCTGGGAGGAGTCAGTTGGGAGTACGAACAGTCGAAACCGCTGCATCTGAAATTTAACCAAATTTTGTTTTGTTCAATTTGTTTTGAAGTGATCTGAAGATGGGATGATTGAATTCCAAAATGTTAATCAAATAAATGATTTTGGGGATCTAAAAAAACTCTTTAATATATTTAAAAACAAAAATGCTGAAAGACTATTTAAAAAAACAAAACAGGTCAAATTATTTGAAACATATTATAAATAAATGCAAATACACAAAAATATAAAATGCATACCATAGTTTCATCTATTGGATATGTAGTTTTATCTGGAAATATACAAGTTGATAAGCAGGAAACAACCTTTTCAACTCCAGTTTCAAAACAAGTATGAAGAATGTTATCATTAATCAATATATTATTCCTCTAATATTAAAAGAAATAAGTCAGTTAACAAAAAGAATTTTTTAACATGTTAATTAAAATAATATTTACCAAAAAGTCTAAATTATATTTCAAATTGCGAAACAATCCTCCAACCATGGCTGCTAAATGAATGACATGAGTTGGTTTGTATCTTCTGAAGAGACCTTTAGTTTGATCTCTATTCCTGAAACAAATATTAGATCTATTCAATATTGAAAAAAACATAAATATATTGATAAAAAACAAATCTTACAATTAAAGACTGATATTTAAATTCTAATTTAAAGAATTATGTATTGTATTATATAATAAAATCATGTGTCTTATTGACTCTAGAAATCTTTTTCATTTACAAAATGTTTCAAAGTATTCTTGCTTCATATCTAAATGTTATTAACTGTTGAATAAACTTTGAATATCAAATGCTGATAGTTAAGAATTTCATGTTAAATTTCTTTTAACTGATTATGATATAGCAGAAAAAAGGTAAAAGCTATTAAAAATATAAAAAATATGTTTTTTTTTTTTTCTGAATTTTCTAATGGTAGCTATTTATATGTTTATTAAGTGATGTCTCTTGGCTGAACTAGTAATGAAAGATATGGTTAAAAAATACAAAACATTCCCAGTGTTAAAACTGTAATGAGATATGTAGATGATTACTTATTGATTTTTAATAATGAGATAACAAATGAGAGGATGATTTTAAATATGATAAATAATATCAACCAAGATATAAAATCTGATATAGAATTAGAAAAATCTAATAAAATTAATTTTTTGGATATAACTATAACAAAAGAAAAAGAGAAATTCTCATTTAAAACATATAAAAAACCATCTAATGTAAATAAAAAAATCAGTTATTACTCACATACCCCAATAGCTATTAAAAAGAATACACATATGATGGAATTAAAAAAAATATACACAAGAACAACCAACAAAAATGAATGCATAATGGAATTAAACAAATTAGATTATAAATTCATCCTCAATAATTACCCAAAAAGAACATTAAAAATTTGGCACACACAATATTACAAAAATAGATTTAATATAAAAAATAAGAGAGAGAAAGATTACAAAGCCTTCCCTTATATAACTAATATTTTCGATAACTGTTCTAACAAGGATAATGTGGTTTTGACCCTATCTTTGACCAATAAAACCTCACAAGAAATTCATAAACTAGGAAATCAAAAACTAACGTTGATAAATTGAAAAAAACTGGAATTGTTTATAGAATTAATTGTAACTGTCAAAATCCAAAAGAATACATAGGAGAAACAGGAAGGACTTTAGAATTACATATTAAAGAACGTGAAGCTGCCATAAGACTAAAGCATAATTCCCCTTGGTTTAACCACATCAAAAATAGCAACTGCTAAATAGATAGAAATAATATTAAAGTCCTACACTATGAAAAAGACATTTATAAACGTAAATTCAAAGAACACATAGAGATGATAAAATACAATAATGATAATTTAATAAATGTGTCAAATGGTACGCAAATTGACCAGCAATGGTACAACATAATAGAGGGTACAACAATAAGTTAATTAAATATATCATAAGGATTATACATTGTCGCGAAAAACCTTTTTGTATTTTAATGATGTTCAAAGGATATACAACATATACTGTTAAATTTTGAAAATAATGAGCTTTTAATTAGTAAGAAACCTGTATGTATATTTATATTTTTTTGTTTTTTAAGAGTTTTTAAATATTATTATAAAATGTTACTTGATATCATAATTTATAATTATTAGTGTAGCAAGCTGTACATTCTTTTGATATAACATAATAAACGCCCTTAAAGTAATTCTTTAAATTGGTAAAAATATTGTAAATGGGACTAAAAGTACCATAAAGTGTAAAAGTACCATATATGTGTGAAATTAAGCCATTGTAACCTATGGAGACTCTTAAGGTATTATGAGGGGTGTTTTTATTATTTTGTATACATTTTCTGCTCGCGTTGTTTTTTGTCAATTTTATAATTAAAAATTTATTTTGTAGCACTGAAGAGAAGCTAGAAAGTTAACCTGGCTCGAAATGCATCTGTAAAAAAGCAATAAAAGGAGTTTTATAACCTGAATTGGCTGTGAGGTAGTCTACCGGAAGTTATTTTTTCAGATTGAAGAGACATTACTAAATAAATATAAAAAATATGATATATTTTTTATATTTTTTTTCATAATAACAATTATTATTTGGGATATATAAACTACTTAATTTATTAATCAACATATGCACTTGCATATTCATCTACATTATTATAAAATTTTCAGAACGACTAAATACTAGTAACAGAATACTATTTTTAATTAAAAATTTATAAACATGAATATGAAATATGATATACTGTATTTCTATAATAAAGAAACTAGGAATGGACCAAATAAGGTGTTTTGACCAGATTCCAAACATTCTTGCCTTTCTGACTATCAAATACAGAATATTCAGCCAAATAACAGCTGATTTATTTAGAACTGCCTGAAACAGAAGGTTTAGACTAAGCCTTAGAATAAAGTAGAGGGCAACTTCTGTTCAATAAAAAGTTATAATTTTTTTTATTTGAAAATACAGTAAAATTAAATTGCTCCATAGTTTTGTGGTTTTTTTTGGCAATCCTATAAAGTGGTGTCTTTAATGAACATTCAGTATGTTTGGTGAAACTGGAAGTGTTTATGACAACCAACAAACTCACTTCTTATGAATGCAGAAGCATTAATGTTTCATTATTATAATTTATCATTTTTGAATTGTGAGTATTAATAAAATAATATTTGCTCAAGACTATTTATTAAAGTTATTTCTTCCTTTCTGAAATAAATATAACAATATTTTTAAATATCTTGGATTTTAAAAGTTTTTTCAGTCTATTTTCTGTTTTATCTTTTCTTTTTTCTCCCTTTTCTCTCCCCAGACTAAAACATTATTTGGTCAAAAAGTTTGGTTATGAGGAAATATTTGTTACAAATATCTAATAGATGTGTAGAGTATTTAGTATTTAGTATAGAATATACCACACTGGAATATACCCAAATACAAAATAATGCTGAATATTCAGTGCATCACTAAAAGAAACATACATTAAACAGTGATGTTATAAATTCTATGAAATCTTTTATGTTACGGAAATATTAACAATAACTCTCAACAGCATATTACTGATAATTCATTTTAATTTTTATTAATTTATAGCATTAGAATAAATGAAGCCCATTATAAAAATACCAGGTGCATCTGAAATAAAAAAAATAATCTCATAAAAAATGTCCTTATATATAACAGCAGTATAGTAACATATTGATATCCTATTTGCTAGATATGAACAGTACATAAATAGAAAAAATAGAAAAATTAATTTAAAACAACAAGAAATATTAAAAATGGAGCTATATTCTTATGCACCTAATACTAAATGAAATCTTTATTTTTATTAAAATTTATTGTAATTCATACTTAATAAAATTTATAATCTTGAATTTTTCACTAACATATGCCATAAATATTTTGAGAAAACTGATATTTATATTTTCTAAATAGAGTGAAATATAATGGTAATATGAGTTGAAAAAGTTAATATGTTATGTTTTCCTTCTGTACTGAGAATTAATTTTCCATTTAGTATTATTTAAAATCTAAGCATATAATGTACCGGTACCAGAATAAAAAAAAATCAATTCAATCAAACTTTCAAGCATTTTCTTTTCTTTTTTGTACTCTTTGCATTCCATGAGCAAACAGTATTTGAAGTGATTTAGTATTTTGAAATTAAAATATAAATCAGGCATTCATTATTCATAACAGATTAATAATTATTAAATTTTCATATTTACAACTTATTTCTCAAATCAGACTGCAGAAATAAAATGACCTAATTGATAAAGCTACCAAAATATTGAACTAAAACAGTTTTGATTATCAACAAAAATACTTTACTCAAACAAATAATTATCTCAAGACAATTCATACAACACTAGGATGGTATCTATATGACAAAATGCAATTAATATAAATCAAAATCATTATCAAAATCAAGCACTAAAGTATCAAATTTATTTCCATTTAAATAAAACATTTTAAGACATATAATTTGTTTTAAAACAAAGTTTGTAACAAATTAATCTTCTAATAATAAAGTATTAATTACTATAAATAAAACAAACCTTATTGTGCTTTGTACTTAGTTGTGAAAACTTATGTCACTAATATTTTTACTCTAGGTCAGTGTTTCTCAATCTCTAACGAATCGTCGCCCCTTCAATAAAACCATTACATAGTATCGTCCCTTCACTCCAAAATTCCGATGCCGAGGGTCAAGGCTAATGCCAAATTCGTACTGCATTGAATAGACAAGTGACTATTATAATGTTATTTGTTTAATTATTGTACAATATAATGAATAAAATATCTAATTATCCTTACTATAATGTTTTACTATATCACCCAAAAAATTGTTTTTCACCCCCAAAATATAAATTGTTACTAATCACCCCTCAACATGAAAAAATGCCCACATGGGGGAGATATCACCCCTGTTGAGAAACACTGCTCTAGGTCCTTCCTCAAGTAGAACTAGGGTTGCCACCTGTTCGGGTTTGACCCAGAGACTCTGGGATTGAGTGAGTTATCTCCGGGCTCCGGGGTTAATTAATATTTCTCCGGGTTGTGCAAGTTGAAATGAATATGTACAAAATTATATGCAAACCGTCGCATATATTTCTTCCCCCGTGTACCGAATTACTAGTGTGGTAGTTGTTGGCTTAAAGACATAACGTCTATAACTGGCACAGGCGCAGTGTTGCTGTATGCTATGTGGATGTACTCTTTCTTGTGACTGTTCTGTCAAGAGATGTCTATTGAGAGTGAAATGATATAGCATACATAGCTGATAGTTTGATAATCAGTGTTCATGTTGTTTGATTAATGGTAAGTTATAGTATATAGTTAGAGTTAGACTTGAGCAGGTTAAATAGCATTACATAACAAACGGTCTGTTGGACCCTCAAAAAAAAAAAAAATAAAAATAAAAATAATGCATTTTAANGTATATATATATATATATTTTTTTTGATGTTTTTTAATTCAAAAATTTTTACCCGCGCGAAAAAATTTTATCGCGATTTTAATCAACCTTTAATGACGCATGATTAACACTTTATTGGTTTTTATGGGACTTATATAAATAAAAAAAACTGTATATGTATGCATATGGGTTTTTTTTTGTTTCTTAAATCATTGTCTCCGGGCGATACTAAGTTATGAAGTGGCAACCCTAGGTAGAACTCTGATTTTTAGGGAGTTCTATCTGAGGAAGGTCCTAGATGTGGACCAAAAATGTTAGTAAGAGTTTTCACAAAACTAAGTGCAAAGCACAAAAAGGTTTGTGAGATTTATTTATAGTGTTTTACTTTATATTATTTAAATATTTATTTTTCATATAACTATATAGTTTTCCACATCTCATATTAGAATTTTAAAAATTTATATACACTGAAAACTTTAAATTCTGCAATTTATCCTAAATATGCTCTGTTGTCCCAAAGACAGTTTTGATAGAATGAAAGACTTTACACCAAAATAATTTTTCTTACTTTGTAGTTCTTAAATGTAGCAACATTGGAACATAAATTATTTTAATATTTCATTATGCTTATAAGGTAAATTTTAATTTATTTATCATTTAGGAAAGTGAAAAAAATATATGCTCAATATACAATGACAGTTCAGTTCATAACATTTAATATGATTTAAATGCTACAATTGTCAACATCTAAATCATATTAAGAAGTTTTGTTTTCTGTTAAATATTTCATATTTTACATTATTTTATACTGTTTGGTCTGGAAATAAAGAATAAATTTTTATTTGATTATAAACTTTGATAATCTTGATAAAATTGCCAGATTTGAAAATGTCATTTGGTTAGGTGAATGTCAAATGCTATTTAAGTAAAGGATAATCAACTTACATTAAATCTGCGTCTTTAGAAGAGATAAATATCCACGTTTCATCTGGTTTTTTCTCTTCTTGAATTACTCTATGTATGGCCCTGCCCACCAATCCAGTGCCACCAGTTACCAAGATCACTTTATTTGAAGACATGTCTATAACCAGCTGCAGTAAATTAAAAATATCATTCTTATATCTAATAATTTTCAATAAAATATCGATTACTACAACGGTAATAAAATATAATTTTTTATATAGTCTATATATTTTTTCTCGTTTAAAATCAATAATAAACTTTTCAATAAATGTTATCTGTAAGATTCATGCTGTAATTCTTAATTATAAAACGCATAAAAACTGATATTATAATATAATTACTAAAAAGTGATTACCTTACGTTTATATAAACGAATAATCCTATAAACTTCGTAACACGTGAGGGAAATGCCGCCAATTAACGTGAAATGAAATGAGACTATGACTTGGCAACACTGCAACAATTCCTAACTCGTCAAAAATCTAAATTATTCTAGTATTATCTCTTCTCGTATTTTATATTTTATCTACGAATAGATATTAATACATAAAAATTTTGTGTAAAAATTACACTGAATAATAATTTATTTACAAAAGTGATTTGAAATGTAAAGCTAAATAATTATAAAGTTACATTAACACTACAGATATAAAAAATGTATATTTTCCAATATTATTCAAATTTTTATTTTGTTATTTCCATAATTTTCCAAGCATTTCGACCAAAGCCCATGATGCGAAATGCTGTGTGTGAAAAAAGTTCGCCCATAATAAATTCCTGATGTTGCTCTCCAGGATTCGATCTTGAATCTCTCAGAGCGCCATAACTCTGTTGGCCATTCGGTCTTCGAAAGGGTCTATCAGAAGCAATAAAACTAACTTATTCATTCTGGCACTGCCTAGTCTAAAATAACCAAATTTTTAGCATGATTTGAACTTTTACACCTCAAAATGTGATGCTCAGCAAATTAGCAACCCTTCTGCAACAATTACAATATTCGTCAGACATCTAAATTATTAATTATCTATATTAATTTTAAACACTTAAAAGTAATATATATTTCATGCTGTTTTAGATTATCATAAAACTATAAAATTTTCAATAAACTGCTATTCGATCGAATTATTAAAGATTTAATCAATTTTCGATCGATCACGTAATCAGTAGTATCAGAGTGGATAGATATACTGGTCCTTGCGCTACCAATAGCTCTAGCGCTATGAGACTGGCGTAATAAATGTTTCTGACACTTCGAGCGCTGCAATCGTTTCACGCCGTAAGTTTGGCTTGAGCATAGAGTCAGCTGTAAACATTCCAAATTTTTTAAAAATGAAATTTTCTTGTTTTTAAGTCAGATTTGTCTTTTTTAAAGGACCGCTTATAAATACTACTTTAATTCAGTTTTGAAGATTATTTATTCGTAAATGTCGTTAATATTTATACTGTATTTCTATTAACTGTCACTTTCACGATTTTAGACTTTAAATTAAACAGACTGTTTGTGTTTTGTTTGCAAGTTGTGTTCATTTTTAAATATTTTTAGGAGGTTTCGTTAAGGGTAAGAAAAAGTAGTAAAAAATTTTATAGTTAAACCTGCATATACATTAATAACATTTTTTGTTTCAACAACGTCTCACACGGCACAGTGGTCGTAAACTCTTAAATATATTTTACGTCGTAATAAAAATATAACTTTCATACGTATTTATAAATAATTTATACTCAAATTACATTATTTCTATAAACAAGGGCGGCGTAAGGCACGGGCAACGTGGGCCACCACCTATGCCTCGCGGTCCGAAGGGCCTCGCGCCTCGAAGGTTTATGCATTACTAAAAAGCCGAGAACGCGACGAAAAAGTTTTACTCGTCATAAAACGATAAATAGTTTGTCAAATTTTTATTCCTAAAAATGCAATTTCAACTGCTTTTTATTTTATAAAATCTGTCTTCTTGAGCCGCCAGAGGGCCTTTTAAACAATAGGTAGCCTGTTAGCGCTGATCAGTAGTAGTCCAAATAAAACATTTGTTTCTTGAAAATTTGATCACGATTTACAGTATTTATTTTTAATATTACCGATATGCCATCGAAAAGAAAACGTGTTGTATTATCATTAAAAGACAAATTAAAGTATTTGTTTCGATTACCGGATTTTTTCCTTATCCGGACTACCTTCATCCCCAATTAGTCCGGATAATCGAGGTTCTACTGTATTTTTAATGTCTAGGCTTAACATTCTGCTGTTAGTATTAACATTGAGGTTTTGGAGGTTGCTAATAAATTAATTAGTATTTTTAATGCTATAATCAGAATTGTGATATTGATTTAATTTATTCTTAAAGAATTTTTCAAGATTGTATAAGACGTAAAATTTAATATCTACTAATGTTATGTATGATTCTTGCAATTTATGTGTTTTAACTTTAATATTGAGTTTATGGATTCTTCAGTTGTAATCCAAAATATTGTTAAAATCATGTATTAATATTGTTAATTTTTTAAAATTCTTAGCAATTTTTTCTAAGTTTCCACGTATGTGTGATGTAGGATCTTCATTTAGTTCAATATATTGATGTGAAGTGACTAAATTAGTTTTAATGTTTTCATATTTTTGATTATCCATTATAACAATTTGTGTTGATTTATCAGCGGGGACAATAATTAATTGGTTATCAGTTAGGAACCTTTTAACTTATGTTATTTGATTATTGAATTTAGCATAATTGAGTTTATTTTTATTGTTAATTTTATTATTTGTTATAATATTTTTAAGGTTAGTTCTCAGTTGCTCTTGTTGATCGGTTTGTAGTTTACTTAATATGTATTCTAAGTTAACTATAGATCAAAACAGTTTCAAAATTTTTGATAAAAATCATGGGAATTATTAAGCTTTAAATTTTGTGAACAAAATCGTTTCCACTCCACATACCATCATCCATACAAACAGAAAATCCTCGAAATTTTTTTTGCATCTCTAGACTTTTCAAGGTCTTGAGTCCAAAAATGTAAAAATGTTCCCATAGTTTTCCTGTGTTATATATAACAGAACAGGAAAAGTAAAACGCATGTTTTACCACCATCTTCACGCGATAAACGTTCAATACGCAAGCCAAACTACAGTATACACATCTCCAAGTTTAGTTCACACTAAGCGCGATTCGCTAGCGAAAGCGAAAAACAAAGCGAATAACCGGTCAAACATGACTCGTTTGACGGGTTATTCCCTCTGTTTTTCGCTTTCGCCAGCGAATCGCACTCAGTGTGAACTAAACTTAATTAAAGGGCCCTCTTTTCGAAGCAAAAAGTTCAAAATGCGATAGCTTTTCCTTTATCTCGTAAGCAACGCAAATATATACCAGCGTACGTGATCTATAGATTGTGGTGACAACATAGCGACCAACATAGTTTAATGCTTTGTTAACCTATTCAAATTACTTTTTGCTTTTAATAAATTATCTTCATAGTCTACAATAAGTTACCGGCCTGGAAAAACTGGAAGAAATTTTGGACAAGCCGTTAACAAAACTAATCAGGGAATAACTTTTTTAAAAATTGCGTTGAGTTCAGCCAATAAAATTTTTCGTGCATATAAAAATTACACGCAATTATGATCAAAATAATACATTTACCAGAAATGCTATATTTAAAATAGTTTTATGACGCACACTAAATTTTTGTAATGAAATATTGTACTTAGTAGTTACTTCATTTTATTAATAATCATACAATCCGTCATCTTTGACAGGCAAATTTACTAGTACAGTATTATATATTAAGTATCTAACAGTAACTTCTATCTTCGTTTCTTTCGAATAAAGCTAAAAGTAATTGTTTTTAGAGCCTTAAATCTAGCTACAAACAAGACGAACTTGCAACATGCTTTATCTCTTGCTTGTCGTGTGTTGTAAACTCCGCCTACTCGGATGTAAAGGTCGGGTATATTGTAAAGTTTGCCACACGGATATGTCAGATCCTGTCCCTCACTACGCGATTTCTCCATTGTGGGCTTGGCCTAATCCATGCCATGGTAAGAGAGCCTGGAAAAAAGGCAGTCTTAGTCTAGCCCACAGGGCACAAATTAAAAAGAAATTTTTAAAAATTCAATATGTAAATTCCCGTTAATACATATTTAAATTTTAATTTATCCATTATTTAAAGTAATTTGTAAGTCAAAGTATTACGTGGGTGACTACTTAATGATTCGCAGAATCGAATTTCTTGAATTTTTTATGCATTTCCGTGGTCGTAATTGGTCTTAATTTATGCGAATCTTTCAGCGCCAGGCTGAAGAACGTTTCCTCCGTATAAATACCGATCGCGTCAATTCCAATAACTAGATGCGAAAAGTTTATTAGAATAGTAATGTAACACATTTTTGAAACTTCATTGAAGATAAATTAATATTACTATCAGTTAAATTTTCCTATCATTGAACAGACATTTCCAAAGTTCTGTTGATATAAAGTTACTATTTGAAATAAAATAGATTTCATTTCACATCAGTCAGAATCCAGAGTGAAATTCTGTTATTAAGTGCAATCATCATTCATTTTGACTATTTATGTAATTTTAACACCGAAAATCCTTTTAATTTTATACGATACAGAAATTATTCTACAGCTTATTAATACGTTAATTATTGAAAGAATCATTTTATATTTTAACTTGTTCAAATTATCTCATGTTAAACTTTTATTAGTAAAATATCGTTTTGTATTTTACTTCAAAAAAATTTTTCTGTTGAGCTTTTAATTCTGAAAACAATTCGTATTAATCTCCCATTTAAAATTCTAAACTAAATCCTTTTCAACTATACATTTATAAAAATCAAAACATTGACTACAGCATTTCACTTAATGTTCTAAATAAATCATATAAAATTGAAAATCAATAATATTTTATTGAAATAAATGTTTATTTTAACTAAAAGCAATTACTATTTTATTGTAAATGATATTTACAATGCAGTACATCTTCAAATTGAAACATTGATGCACAATAAAATAAATTTAGCCTTGCTAATTTTAACAGGAAGAAAAAGTTATATATACACAATAATGGAAAATATTCTAGGAAGGATGTATAGAGATATATTGGCAAACTTAAAATACATTTATTCTACTAAGAAATAAATAAATACATATTTATAAAAAAATAAGTTGATAAATATCAATGAACTTGAAGTTCCGAAGATGATCACCAATAAGAAAATGTAATTCTTACTGATACAAAAATGACTACAAAAATACTTCTGCAGAATTCAAGGGGCCACTTCTACATGCTATCTCTGCATTAAATCATATATTTTTATTGTAAAAATTTAAACTAAGAATTATATAAAAGACTAGAAACTAGTGACTGCTTTTACAAGCTCTTAAACCAAACTGAGGTACTGTGCAAAATTTAGTATAATTTGCACCCTAAAAAGTTTTTTACACCATTCTTTTCAAATTTAATATTCTTAAGACTAGAATATTCACTATTTAATTTTAAATTCTTAATAGATGAACAGCTATTATGCTTGGGCTTAATTTTTCTATTGGTTTTGGCCACTGTATCTGTAGAAAAATTGCACAGGATTTCAATAAAGATTAATTTATAACCAAAATGGTGGTTTATATCTGTCAACAGAACACTGGCATAACAGATTTCCATTATATACCGTATTTACTTGTGTATAAGACGATCTCACATATAGAACGAGGTGTGACTTTAAAGATCAAAATTTAAAAAAATTAGATTTATTTTGTTTAATCACAAAAAATATCAAATGCACGTAAATGCACACATCATTCTGCAAAAATTACTGGCATTTTAAACTTTAAGGAAAAATCTTGTAAAATAGACAACTTAATTTGTTCATGTAAAGCTGGACAATCGGGAACCTTTCTTGCCATTTCTTAACAGTCGAATCCACTCTCCATCGATTACACTTATGAGTTTTTCCGAATAATCATCTGTTTTAACATGAAAATGGATTAAAACTTATATCGGGCTCCCATGTGATTTTGAAATTTGAATTTGGAATTCAATTCCAAAGCTTTGCTTTTCCTAATGCTACTCACCTTTACTCCTGACAATACACAACAATTCAAACGACCCATATAAAATACTTTTGTTTTTATACTTACAAGAGGCGAATACTACATAGTTCACAAAAATTATTGAAAAAACACAAAGAATCTTTCACTCACATATAGGATAACCTGGGTTTTTGAAGCAGTGAAAAATGAATATAAACCTCGTCTTATATGCGAATAAATACAGTACATTATTCATTTAATAAATTTTGATAAGAATTTTTAACAGGGTAAAAGTTTGCTCAGTGTATTTGTAATTGTAGCATGTAAATGAGATTTATTAATCTAGTTTAAATTTATGAACATTTATTTGTATATATTTACTGTCTCGAGATATTGTATGTTGTGTGAAAATGGGGTTTTAAGCTAAATACACTTTGATATGAAAGGTCCATTTATACACAATATTGCACAATGTTGGAATTTGNATTTATATTTATATAACAAATAAGATTTAAACTTGATAACAAGCATTTTTAAATAATATAATAATGGGGTTCTGACTTAGCTGCACTTTTCTTTGGTTAATGCATGACTAAATTGTTTTGGTAATGTTCTTTCTATGAATAATTTTTACATACAAATAGATGTTGCTGTTTTAATTCTATTTGGCTAAGCATTGAATGCTCTCTAAAAGATCAAAAATACAATTTGATGTATTTCTACCTATGAATTAGCATAGAAAAAATGTAGACTGCGATATTTATAATTCAATATGATTCACAATCTTCTAACATAATGATAAATTCTTAAGAAATTTAATTAGTTATTTTTTTTGAGTTAAATTATCACAATAACAAGAACTGACCAGCAATTCAAACCTCAGCACCATATTAAGCACCTTTTTGATTTAATTTTCAAGAGAGGGGTATGGTACCATTGTGGCGAGTCTTTCTGACACTGTCGTCATTACACAAGTAAGGATTAGAAGAATTTGACAGGGCTGCAGTTTTATCAAAGTCTATGGTGGCATAACCTTCAGGTGTTTGATGGGGAGAGCAAGGAGGAAATGTCATGCTTGTGGAAGAAATTGGAGACACAACTTGTTCTTTACCATCTGTCGAATGATCCAAATCAAGCACAATGTAATTTACTTGTTGTAAATCACCCATTGCATCTGTTAAATCTGAACTTGTATTGGGAACTGATGCATTTAAATTAGCATAAAAGTGAACAACAGGACTCTTCAATTGATTGCTAGGTAATGTAACTGTTGCATTATCTATAACCTGACAACTTGGAGTTGCAATATTTTTATTTACTGTCATAGTGCTTGATTTTTCAGGTTTCACATTGACATAGAAATGCTGTTTGACTGACTGTTCTTGTTTGAGTAAGTCATCTAATTTTGCATAGTTTGTGTTTAAATCGACACAACTCATACAATGTAGACAACAATTATCTGAAGGACATATTCTCGCAGAAGGGAAAACGTTATCTGATGATGACATGCACAGTGAAGTATTTACATTACTTCTTTGTAAAGAATTATTGTGGTTGCATTTTTTCTGTGCATTTTCAGTGATGACAGATGAGTTTACATACTGATGACTTAAATTAACATTAGACTGAGGATCTTTAGAAGTTGTATTTGCAAAAACAGTTTCATTTGCATAATGAGAATTTGCATTTTGATTGCAAATCCGGCAGTCGGCTTGAACAGTTGTAGTAGATTCCACAGCAGTTCCAGATGGAAAACTGACAAACCCATTCATTGAATTACTTCCAGTTTGTGAATGGGAAACCATTACAGAACTGTTGTTACTAGTTATAGGTTCCAAATAACCATCCATATCAACTGATGGTGTCTGATTAGCAACGTTGCCGTTAATACCACTATTAGAAGCAACATTCACAGAATTTGTCAAGTTGTTATGAATATCTTCTGTATTAGAAGAAGAAACAGTAAAACTCCCTCCATTTCCCCCACCAGAATTTTGTATGCATTCTTGAAGCACATTGAATAAAGCTTCTGCCCGACGACATTTAAAAGCATAAATTCCTGGTCCAGTTGGACATCTTCGTCCACTTTCAAAAGAGAACAGTTCTGCATCAAAGCCATATCTCCTAAGACTTCTTAAAGGCCAATGAATTGGAGTTTTCCCTTTCTGTCGAAGAATCAGATCAACCTCAGTCACTTCTATTTTACCAGGATTTATATGCCTTCCAAGATCATTTACATTCCACACCTAATAAAAAATATTAGCAATTAAATTTAATTGTTAAGCATTTTTTAAAAAAATTTATAAAATCAATACATACATGAAATACTCTTGGATTGGAATTTTCCAATTCTCCTTTTGTAAACATGCACCCCATTCTATACAGAATAACACCTCTGAAAACAAATTAATTTTTGTAATGACAATGATATATTTTATTATATTTATTAATCATTACATGCAAATAAAAAATAATGCAATTAAATTTAAAAATCAGTTTAAATAAAACTAATAAAACGTTAAAAAAAACAAAGAAAAAGATCATCATCATAGCTCATGCCATAGATATAGAAACATTAAATAATATTCATGGTTTTGACCTTCCTTTTTATACCATTCTTCCTCTAAGATTCAAAACAGACAGTTATTCAAAATAGTATCATTATCTACCTCTTCTCTTGATGTACAGTACTTTAAAGAGCAAAATTCCTTTTAATACTTTTTACTTATAGTTAGTTTTCCAATTATTAAAGAAAACAATTTTATTAACAGTTTACACTTTTATCACAACAGTAAAAATCTAAAGAATCATGAATGTTATTGATGTTTTTGTAATAATGAAAATGAATGTTAAAGACATTTTTTAAAAATTTTAAAAGTATGAAAAATTTTTTGCATTTATAAATATAAATAATGCATTCTGTAAAATTTTCTATAAAGTAGAATTGACATGAATATATTTAGACATGGACAGTTTTATTTAATATTTTCCATAAATTTAATAAATTTTCACCAATAATTCAAAAGAAAAAGCAGGGATACTTATAAGAAAGCAGTTATTGCTGTGTTGATTTGCAGAGCATATATCTTGTATCTTCTACAGATCAGATTTTGAGTAAAGAAATAATAATGTGGGCAATTATTGATTCTGAGTACTCAATTTTCCTAATCTTGCTTTAATTGTAATGTAGAAAAGCCAAAACATAGAAAACTTGACAAGTTTTAACAAATGCAATGCCGCAAAGAGGCTGTCACAAATTTCATACAAGATGGAGGTCTGCCTCATATTGCAAAACGAATGCAACAGCTGTTACAAGATCATTTCACAAAAGAATAATTAGTCATTTTCCCCCAATGGCATGGCTATCATATCATATGATCTTATACTATATGATTATCAGATCTGGGGTCCATCAAAGCCAATATCTATTAAAGAAGTATGTCTAACCTAATTGTTTTAAACTAAATTTAGCATTGAAACTAATATCTCAAATACTATAGTAGAGCTAACAGTGACTTATTACACTGCTACTAGTAATATCAAAATGACACTTCTATCAACAGAATGCAACTTTATTACTGGTATGCATTTCAATACTCAAGACCCTCATCAGCCATACCGAATGCATACCAATAATAAAGTTGCATTCTGATGATAGAAGTGTCATTTTCATGTTACTAGTAGCAGTGTTATTTCTACCACTAAGGTGACCTTCTTTTTTAAGTTCTGTTCTCCCTCGAAAAGTGTTCTCCTACATGTCCTCCTTTTCGATATTTGAAGACTAATCTGTAAATCTCCATATTCGATTGATGCCAAGCCGATCCATTGTATGTGATGTGTTTGTATTTAATGCAATGATTCATCAAGGCTTGGTACAGTGCGACAAGATGTGATTATGAGACATATGTGCTCCGCACAAAAGACTTTGAGAGAGCGCGCTGTGTGGAACTGGCTTTGTTTACTTCTTACTGAAATATTACACAGCACATATACATGCAATAGATATTATGGTGTATTATTGTTGCAATGAATAAATGTTTCTTTTATTATGATATTTTTTCCTTCAATTTATTTGTGTCCTCCTTTTCATTGTAAAATACTTGGTCACCTTACTCGTACAGTATTTGAAATATTAGTTTCAACAATTTTCAAGACAAGAAGTTCTTTTACAATAAATTTAGCATGTGGAACATTTCTTCAGATGTGTTGCATTCTGCAGTTCAGCATACCATGTGTATGAAATACATGGACTTTCTGACTCAAAAAAATGATAATCTCTTTGAAGCTTAACTGCAATGTCAGTAATATCTCCAATGTCATGAATAAATGATGAATGACTTTCAGGCTGTGATAATTTGAAATTACATTTTGAATTTATATTTATTTCTTTTTGTGGTCCTCTGTATGATGTTTTGTTTTAGAGTGACATATTCTCACCTATCAGCACATTTTGGAACTAAATTTTTTTTCACATTATCCTTCTCTCCTAGTTTTAAATAGTATACATACAAATTTTGGTACTTTTCTGCTTATTAAACTACAAAATGCTCTACTTTACTTTAACTACCTGACATGTATATATTTGAATATCTTTTAAGATATTCAAATATACCATATGATCATGTTAAAAGATAATTCAGTTTTTGACATTAATATTCAAAACTGTATATATAGATGACAAAGACTTATTTTACAACTAATAAAATAATATATAAATACATCATTAAATAATGTAAAGTTGTTTTTATCAAACTGAATGAAATATAAACTAGGTAATTTGATATTAAACTGTTTGGAACAAAATTATATTCAGAGGGGTACAAAAGTAGGTATGCAGATGATTACAAAGTTAAGATTATTAAATAATTTTAAACTCACAATAAATATGATAAGAGTTTCCTATAATCTAATTTCTATACTCAAACACACTTTGGCATAGTTCTTTATTGTCAACAACATATATTTTCATACATATACATGTATACATACAAATTACTCATCAACAGTGCATGGTTTTCATGAAATATTTTGATAACATCCCAAAGAATAAGTCCATTGAGGTAAGAGGTCTGATGATTGTGGTGGCCATTCAATTGGCCTTAGTTGATCTATCATAAATAAGGAATATAAATAATAAAAAGGCAATAAATAATGAAGAATGCTGTATTAAACATCTGTATTTCTCAGACTAAAACTCCAAACCTACTCTGTAAACCTACTCCAAGGTAGGTATACAGTTTGAATCTGAGAAATATAGATATTTAGTGCATATTCTTCCTTATTTATTTTATATATTTTTATAAAAATGTATTGAATAAATTATATTAATTCAATACACTATATTAAAGTCATTCAACATATCAATTAAACAAAAAGATGTTAATTAAATAGATGGTGCTAGATATTATACTTTCCAAACTTATATTAGACATGTTCAAATTAATTTACAAAAAATGAGAAAATAGAATTTAAAATGTTTAATATAATTAATAATATAAAATATTGGTATAACAACTGTAGCATTTGAGATTTATTATTTACCATATTTACTCGCATAAAAGACGAGGTGTGACTTTAAAGATCAAAATAAAGAAAATTAGATTTATTAACACAATTCTAATTTTATTTCATTTAATCATAAGTAAAATATCAAATGAACGTAAATACACACATTGTTCCACAAAACTTACTGACATTTTAAACTTTAAGGAAAAATCTTGTAAAATAGACAACTTAATTTGTTCATGTAAAGCAGGACAATTGGAATCTTTTTTTTGCCAATTCTTAACAGTCAAATCCACTCTTCATCAATTAAACTTACGAGTTTCTCCAAATTCTGATTTCCAAATAATCATCTGTTTTCAGGTGGAAATGGATTAAAACTTATATCAGGTTCCCATGTGATTTTGGAATTTCAATCTGTAATTCAATTCAAAAGCTTTGCTTTTCTTATTGCCCATCATCTTTACTCCTGACAATATACAAGAACAATTCAAACGACCCAGATAAAATACTTATGTTTTTAAATACAAGAGGGTAAGCATAAGGTAAAAAATGTGAATACACAGTTCACAAAAATTATTTGCAAAAATGCAAAGAATCTTTCAGTCACGCATATAGGACAACCTAGGAATTTGAAACTATGACAAATGAATAAAAACCTTGTCTTATATGCAAGTAAATAAGGTATTACAATCCTCCAAAATTTAAAATTTATAAAATCTCATTTTGTAAATTAATCTGAACATTGTCTAAAATAAATTAGGAAAGTATTATCCAGCACTATTTATTTATTAATTAGCTTCTTTTGTTCATTCCATCATACATTCTATTCTGTTATACATTTCTGAATAAGATCTTTAACTTGAGGATGATTGCTAAAAGCTATTGAAAATGTTCGTTTTTTCCACCATTGTGTTTCACAAGCTAGATTTTTGGTTATTTAAGTGTTTCTTTTGTTTAATTGCCACTGTGAATGATATTAATTTATCTTTAATTACACTGTATTAATATAAATGTATTAGATAATTTTTTTTATAACAATAAAAATAATTTGATATTTCATGTAATAATAAATTACTAAAATTTATTATTTGGCTAAAAGATTTAATAAATTGCAACTTAACATTCAATTTATATATTTAGCAGCATCAGCATGAATCAATCTACAGGAAAAAACCCACAAAGAAAAGGAACTAAAAAATATAGAAATTGATATTATAAATCAATAATGAGTAGTTTGTGAAAAATATAATGCCCAAGACAAAGTACATTGAGTTCAGATTGCCATATAATGATTTTCTGTTAGTGATATCATAAAATAAAAACTGAAAAATTAACATCTCATCTATTACAATGACTTACTAATCCAAAACACCCTGTCCTAATCTAATAAGCAAGTTTTACTAAATGAAACAAATTTTAAAATATTCTATAGATTTACTATATTCTTATTATTCCAAAAATATTTTATTATTCACAAGAAATTAAATATTTTATTATAATAAGGTTATTCAGATGTTGGAGAAATTTCAGATATTATAAATGCTCCTCTACTGATTAGATATTAGTGTTTTGAATTTAAAATTTGTAAATTTTGCAGACAATCTTCTATAAATCATCTTAGCATATCACACTGCTTTAATTTTAAATAAGAAAAAATTTTTGAAGTTAAAAAAGTATTTAAACTGAATATATAATATTTATAATATAAAAAAACAAGAATATATTTATACAGATGTTTAGAAAAAAGATTATTTAAAATCATATCTGAATAACTAAATTATATAAAATACTCAGCATAATCTTGTTCTTTTTTCAGAATGGTAATTGTAATCAGATAAAATCAGTTAAAGATATTTTATAAAATATTAGTTATTACTTTCTGATTACATAATGTTTCAACTATGCATGTTTGTTTTCATTTTTGTGTATTGAAATAAAAAAATATATATATTCATGTTTTGTAAAAATACATATTATTGAAAGCATCTTTGATCATTCCAATCATACACAAGTAACATTTCTGAACTTTTCTTTATGATACATAATTTAAACAAATAAAATATACAATCCTATTGGAAAAAATGTCATTTTCCACAAGATAACATCTTTTGTCATCTAGTGTAAAAAATCAAGAATGACTTTTTGAAAAAATCTAATTTTTTAAACTATCATACATTACATTTCACATTTAAAATGTAATTTTATTAGATATTGAGTTACTTATCTTCATATTCTATTTTAAATTCTTTATTCCTAGAAGTTAACTTATTTAAAATTTTAAAAATTTTTATATTTTTATGTTATTTCTATGCCTGTGTATCAGACTCAGATATAGAGATTTACTTTGATAGAGCTCACCTACATCAAAATGCATCACCATTGCATCTAAAATATCCAGAGATTCTTGAGATATACAGGGGTATTTCTAGAGGAACAGCTATCGACAGCTATTAACTCCTATGTCGCATGCATGGAGGGCAGTATTTGAGTGCATTTAGTAACTATGTAATGTTTTGTAAACAGTTCTGGCTTAGTATATATATATATTATATTATTATATATCAACACTCAAGTTGTTTTGAAGTATATTTTATTCCAACTTTTTGTTATTTATAAGCATTTAACCTTTTTGTATATGTTGTTTTCTTTTGTAATCGTTTTTATGTTATAATTTATTACTGCATTCCTGTGCATGCAATGTTTGTACACAATGAATGTTATTTAAATTCTGTTTCTAATTTGCATTCTACCAGTACTATTCTACCAGTACTACTGAACCTGAGGATGGCCTTTATAAAGGTTGAAAATGTCTGTTCTTTAATAAATGTTTTTATTCTTCTCCGAGGATTTTAGGTTTGGAAGTGTTGTCATATTACATACATCCAATTCAGAGGTTAGGGTTTCTACATTAATATGTCTGCACTGGACAAACTCTACAGGAAAGCTGTTGTTCGTTTAAGACACATCAATTCCAAATTGGATTTTCTGCTTTATTGCCATTCCCTGGGTATATTTCCAGCATCTATTATGAAAATTATACTACCATTTAAATGCTCATTGTTGCTACCTACCATCAAAAAGTATACATCTTTGTAAATCAATTCATTTAGGAAAGAGATGGAAATATTCAATCATTAAGGAAATCATTGCGTTGGAACATTGCTTGTTTGAAATTGACCCAGCATAATATCACAATTATATATAAATNAATTGAACTGAAAATAAAATAATAAAACTTTAATTAATTAAAAAAATTTAATTAAATTAAGCTAATATTAATTTCTATTTATTTAATATATATGCAAGATATATAGAAAGTCAAATATTAAGTTTCAAAATTTAAAGACTAATAATTCCAAATTAATTTATAAGTTTCATTAAATTATGTTTCTATCACCAATAAAAAACATTTTCTAGATATGAAAAAAATAAGCATCCAAATTTTCACTTCTTAAGAATACTTATATTTATAACCTGAAGCAATTTTTAAAACGTTTTATTTCAAATTTTGTTTAAAACATTTAAAAAAGTAAAAAAAAAAAATGTTGTTTACTTTTAATAATCTCATTCTATTCAATATATCATACAATAATCTTCATTGAGATATCAACTTTATTCAGTAATTAACTTATTAACTGAACCAATAACTGATAAGTATAAAATTTAAGCAAAAAAAGTTTGCGAGAAAACAATGGGATTCAGAAGCATATTCAGATTAGATATAAACTGTTTAAGTAATACCTAATAGAATGTTTTAATAATCAATAAACTTTCAGATGATGAAATATTTTATATTATTATTTATCATTCTTTAGAATGTTGTCAAGTTTGGATTATCACAAATATAAATGTAAATTTAAACTAACATTACAGTGATACACATAAACATAATTATAAAACAAATAATATTTATATCAAAAATGCAAGTATTTATAGTTACCTGTATATCAAATTATTAAATATTTTAACAATAAATATTTCATAATCAAACTTCTTGGAAAAAATTAAATGCACAAGGCAGCTCAATTAAAAGCAAATAGAAAAACACCCACTACAAAAGGAAATTGCTAAGAAAATCCACAAAAAAGATGTAATGAAGCTTGATTCCCCTTACATTTTGGAAGTTTGAATTCTTTTGTTGGATGCTGAATGTTTGTCACTCATCACTGATTGCTGCACTATGGATGTTGATGGAGGTCTGGCTACTTGCCAATTTAAAATAAGAGGAAAAAACCACTAGTCTAGTCTGCATTTTGTTGTCCTAAGGGGTCAAAATATTATTTGTAAAGAGTAAAATATATTAGAGTCATTAAGTTAATTTACCAGTAAATTGTATTGAAAAGTCAGAGACATAAACAACACTATTATGACTTTATACCATAACAATTTATAAAGTTGTTTAAGTTAAACTCCAATGATAAATAAAGAAAACAAGCATTACTAACTTAAAAATTTATTACTTAAAAAAAATTCATAGTGATTTATTGATAGACTATACATGCAACAACTAATGATATTTCAATTATCTTTGAATAAAATCTAGACATTTTAAAGAATTTATCACAAATCAACATTTAAAATGTAAAATATTAAATAAATTTTATATATAAATAAAACTTTTAATCTTGAAGTAAATTGTAATTTATTATCCAATTTCCAAATATAGTTAACAAGCTAAAAGATTTGGCCTCTTTTGTGCTCTCTGAGTGGTNAAAAAAAAAAAAAAAAAAAAAAAAAAAAAAAAAAAAAAAAAAAAAAAAAAAGTCAGAATATAAAAAAATGAATAATACATAATTGTTAATCTAATTTAAATTATTATAATTAAATTGTATAGATTATATGCAGCTGTTTTCAATTGTGGGTGTTTCTAGAATATGAGCAATAACAATTTTCTTAGAAAATATTGATTTGCAATAGCATTTGGCAGAGAGGAAAATCTATTACAAAACATATCAAATGCAGTAATTAAATAGAAAAGCCATTAAAACTTGAAAATAAACCTACAAATATACATTTTAATATTTTGTATTTAAGATTCTTTAACTTTTTTATTTAATAATTAATTTTTTGTATAAATATATAAAACAAATTCTCATTTTTTGGTTAACTTATATAAAATAAATCACATATTAATAAAAAAAAACATTGTTTACTTAAATGAGAACTACTTCAGAATAAATATTTTTTTTTATGGATAGACCATTTTTTTGATAACAACTTTTAAATATATATAAACATACATTTTTTTTAATATATAATACAAATCAGCTATATATTGTTCCAACTTAATAACATTCAGAAATAAGAAAATCTTTAGTTATAATTAAAAAATAGTAGAATCTAAAACTACGTTCTTAAACTGCAATGTAAAATGAACAATCAATTCTACTTTAGTAAACAACATGACACTTTGTTGATATATTTCTGGAAACTGCCAATACTGTATTTTAAATACATTTAATAAATCAATTTCGAATAATAATTAATCTTTAAAATACAGTAGAGTTCCACTAGTCCAAATGCATTTTGGTTGGCGGAGAGGAAATTTTTTTAGCTGGAAAAATATACGTGTTTTTTTTTTGTATTTTCCAGTTGAATTTATATGGTATTAATGGTACAGAAAGTTTTAGAATACCACAACAACAACAAAAAACTTGTATTTTATTGTAGTACTGTACAAAATTAATAAATTAGTGTTTGACATGGCCTATTAAAACAGCAGATCTATACAATACTTGCATACAAAAACAGAAACAAAAGTCATCGACCGCATCGGATCTATAAAAACGAGACCCATCTTACCGCGGCTTATGCATTATTTCAATTATTTGGCTAATCCAAACGGGGGCTCAGTCCCAATTAGTTTGGACAAGAGGGACTCTACCGTAGTGCAATAACTTTTCTAAAATCATTTGAAATACCGCATGCAAAAAATTAATATAAACAGATATTTTTCAATCGTTTTAAGATTATTAATACCACAGATTGTACTTAAACACATCAATCGGCAATCTTCTACAACCTAAATACAATGAAATATATTCTAACATATAATTCAAATTTAAACACAAATAATTGAATTATCAACTCCTTTCCTGTGTTGATATAAACATCTTCCTTTCATTCTCAACTGTCTGTAGACTTATATATGTTAAATAGGTTATAATAAAGCTTTTATAAAATTCAAAACTTACATAAACAAGCATGTGAAAACAAAAGAAAATAATAATAAGAGAAAAGAACGTACCATTTTCAATGAAGATGCAATAGATTAAATGGAAACGTAATACAATACTGATGTGTGACGTATGATTAGTAAAAGAATAGGATTAAAATGCACAAACGGCAGCAATTTCGATGGTGAAGGAAATGTTCAACAAATGTCAAAATGGGTGAACAACATCATAAACCGATAAGAAGACGATAAAGTATGATGAAACGGCTCAGTCCAATATAACTTTATCAGCATATATTAAATAATTAATGCAAAACATATCGAAATTTTAAGTGCAAAAGATTATAAACAAAAGTGGAAAAAATAGGCCTAAATGAAGGCTTAAGTTTCTCACAACTTACTTTAACTTTTCCCATAATAAAATCGGATGTGTTCAATAATCGATGTTCATGAAGATCTTCTTAAATGTTCGACGATGAAAATCTTGCGCCGTATTTTTGTACGTGAAGCGGAACGATCGAAAACTATAACTAAACTAGAAATATCGCAGACGTTAATTACAGCATCCCTGAACATCCGACTCGTACTAAAAGCGAAGATAGATGGCGCCACACGTTCTCGCCAGCTTCTCAGAATATTCACCCGTTTCTAAGAAACGATTAGGGAATTAGGGAAGAATTCGGGGAATTCTTCGAGTACGGAAAGGAAATTTTCGGATAAAGTCCCCAAAGGGAAATTTATTTCGCTAAAACGGTTTTCGGTACTTAAATCTTAATATAGAGTATAATATATTTTCTAATTGGTTTAATCTGCTACGAATTCAAATCAATAGTTACAAGTTGGTGTCTAACTCGATAGTCGAGTGGTTAAGGTGTCGGCCTGTTGCTCTAAAATTTACAGTAAGTTTCCATTGACCGTCTCAGTGGGTTAGACCCTGTCATTTACCATCCGGCGGCCCTCTTAAAAGTTCTTCTTAGTGCTTACCGAGTGATAAAAACAAATGAAACTTATTTTATGGATTCGGATTAACCTCTGCATGGTTAATTTGGGGAACAAAAAACTAAAGTCGTAGGTTCAACTTCTGCGTTTTATTCCAGAAAATCACGACGATGGATCGTTTTCGGACCTGGAGAATAGATGTAAAAAAACTAAGTGATTTTCAAGTGTGTATATTACGTACGAAAATGACAGTTTTTGAGAAAATTGGCATTTTTTGATTCCAACTGAAATTTGAAATTCCTTGAACGTTTGATAGTCTGCAAGCTGTAGGAGTTGTGATAGGAGTTGTGGTAAGAGGTAGAGCGCTGACCCACAGATTCTACACTTGTGTGCTCTTATCCGCTGGAGGAGTTTCAGTTGAAATCAAAAAATGCTAATTTTCTCAAAAACTATTATTTTTCGGACGTAATAAACAGACATGGAGATTACTTGTTTTTCAATAATCCTAGATCCAAAAGCGCTCCATCGTTGGATATTAGGGCCCGTCCCTCACCAACAGGCTGCACCAATGTGGGCCTGATGTAAGTTCCTCAAACTACAACTAAAATTTTATATATGTTTTATTTATAATGTTATATTTAATAGTAGTAAACGAGCAATTATTTATTGTGACATCGTCGTAATGCCAAGCTGTAATTTTTTGTCACAATGCACTTAAGTTTAGTAGTGTCTTGCCTCTGTACATCATACTTTTCCTGTTAACAATGAAGTCATGTATCTAACACTTTTCCACTACAAATTTTTGAATTGAAATAACTTAACTTCAGGTTTGAATCGGAAATTCGTATATAGTTACTCGGGGGCCCCTGTTCCCAAGGTTTCCTTACCTGGTCTCGTCTTTCATGTATATAACTCCGTTCTCGAGATTAAGGCGAGAGACGCACGGACGGACAACATGGAAATTTATAGGTTTACAATTTTTTCAGATTGCAGCCCAAAAATAATATAAAGTTCAATGCTTATTATTTGCAGTCTTCATGTCGGTTACAAAAAAATGTTATTTTATGAAAAATTCTTCTATTTTTGTTAAATAAAAGTATGTGGAGTTTGGTTGTTTGTTCTTTTTAATATAGTTGTTTGCTAAGTTTATTGTATCATTGTAACATGTACTGAGGAGGGGCTAAATTCCCAAATGCATTTACATTAATTAAGAGCGATAATATAAAATATTTTGGATGATATTCTCGTTTAATTAGTTATTGTCAGTCAGAAAAAACGTGGCTATTCACATCGGATTTTGAAAAATACGTTTTTTACTTCTCTAAATTTACGATGTATTTTTGGATTAATCAATCTTAAATTCGCTTTTGTATGGATAAAGAGATCACAGTTCTTAATGTACTGTACTTACTTCAATTGTAGACCGGTTCAATCTAAAGGGCTTTTAAAAGAAACATCAGTATAGCGTGGTATAACTTTCATGAATCCTTCTATCTTAGCACACTTTGTGCATTTGTTTCTTCTATTACTTCTAGAATTAACATATCTTCTATACTTAGATGTAAGACTTATTTTTACAATTAAACAATTCGCTTAACGAGTAAACACACCACATCAACCATTATTCAGCAGATCCAAACACGTGTTAACAAGTCGTTTCTTTTCTCTCTGAAAGGACGTCATTATTTTCCTCATCGCTCCCCACCGGTATTGCTCACATAGTGGAGTTCAGAAATGTCCTCATAAATAAATTATTGGGTGGCAATTTGAAAAAAATTGTAAACCTATAAATTTCCACTGTCGTCCGTCCGTCGTCTTTCCTTAATCTCGAGAACGGAGTTAGATAGTTGAAAGCCGAGACCAGATATGAAAACCCCGATTAACTATATAAGAGCTTCCAATGCAAACCAGAAGTCATGTTATTTCAATTCAAAAATTTCCCCCTGAAAGGAGTTAGATAAATTACCGGCATGGCACTTGCTAACAGGAAAAATACGATGTACAGGGGCAAGACACTACTACTGTAGTTTGAGTTGGGAAGCATATACAGTATTTTAAATTAAACAAACTAAAAATATGATTAAAAGTTGCAACCCGGCATTGTGAAGATGTCACAATAAATACACTGCTGGCCAAGTAAAATGCAACACCTGCAATATCTAGAGACCTACATGCAGTAGTGATATTCGAAATATTTAACAAAGGGTTTGCTAACAGAAAATTTCTCCTTAACAATTTTTTTTTCGCTCAAATGGTGTATTAGCAACATTAGCGCAAAAACTGACCTTAAGATGCCCATATAAATAAAAAAAGATATATATTACACGCGATGATAAAACTGACATAACTACGCGGTAAGTCACGAACACTGACAAACAAAATGGAAGTTTTGGTTAGAAATAAATACAATACTTTTTCTTGCGATATATCTAATAATAGACACATGTCATCNATATTAGTAATATTGTTGATGATATAATGGAAAAATTAAATAAATTCGATGAAGAAGAAGAAGAAAATTAAAATCTGTAACATCGATTTTAAAGAAATAAAAAATAGTTAAAAGAGTCCATTGTTTTTAAATCTAGTAATTAATTATATTATCGTTGATACAGAAAAAAACTTACGTTCTGTGTGATGAGATGTCGGTACAAAAAGAAGTCTCTGAACAGAAATATTGAATGCAGGGAGGTGCTTTCGGTAGATTAATTAAAAAATGCAGCGGGGAGCTTAACTTCAGGGACTGTTTTGAGGGTGTAGTAGAGAAAGATTTTTTTATTATCAGAAATAAGTCTATGATCGAATGCGGCAGAGGGTGCTTTCGGTAGATTAATTAAAAAATGCAGCCTACAGCTTAACTTCAGGGGTGTAGTAGAGAAAGATTTCTTTTATTATCAGAAATAAGTCTATGATGGAATGCGGGATGGGGTGCTTTCGGTAGATTAATTAAAGAATGCAGAGAAAGATTTTTTTTTTATTATCTATAAATCAAAATATTGAATAGATGATAAAATGCAGTTCACAGCTTAACTTCAGGGGTGTAGTAGAAAAAGATTTTTTTATTATTTGCAAATCAGAGCCGCTTTTGGGTAATTATTTAAAGAAAGCAGTCCCACAACTTACTTCAGAGGACTGTTTTAGGGGTGAAAGATTTCTCCCAATAATATTTTCTTTAAAAACTACAGAGATCGGTAAAAAACGCGGTCCGTTATTTTTTTTAAAAATATATTACGTTTTTCCCCAATAATTCTGTTAAGAAATATATTATAAAACCAATCATATTTTTTTTTAAAAACTACAGATATCGGTAAAAAAACGTCATCCGATAATTCTGTTATTTTCCTTACCTAAATCAATCACATTTTCGTTAAACACTAACACCAAATCATATTTTTTAGGAACAAATCGTTTTTAAACACAATACGCTTCCATGTTAGAACTGAGAATGGCACGAGTTTTCAAACAAAGAGATAGCACGGGGTTTACACGACCGAGTTCCAGGGTATGATAGAAGGGTGAATCGAATAAAAAGTTATGTTATATTATTAAATTCCGTTTTGTATTATTAAATTCTTATACAAATTAAAATATAATCTACACTGTATGAGTCTTTATTTCGATATAATTTAAAAAAAAAAAAAAAAAAAAAAGTTGTAATATAGAGGGCGCGAGTTTCGATGTTGTGTTATCGGTTTTTTTATATTAAATTCTTATACAAATTAAAATATAATCTATACTGTATCAGTCTTTATTTCGATATAATTCAAAAAAATTTTTTTAATATTAAAAAAAAAATTTATTTACGAAAAAAATTTTTTTATATTAAATTTATATACTAATTAATTTTTGTACCCCAGAATGCATCATTTCTATACTACTGCTTTCAGATGCTTCTTCAACATCAGAATTAAATTTATCGAACTTTGCACTACTAATTTAAAAATTCCCAATTTTGGATGACTTCATACTTAGCAGGCTTATTAATTTCAGTTTTCTTTCTGATTCAATAATTTCAAAAAAACAGAAATGTGATAGTTACTTCCTGACATCTGTCTATACTGTCTAAAGTGAGCTTCCAGCATATCTATTTGAAATTTACCCAACAACACAATTTGCTCCAAGTTTATTTAATATAAACTTTGTAAGTTCACACATTGCTTTAATTGTATGCTCTAATGCTTTTTGAGTTTTTACTGTTAATTTCCTATGCCCATTACTGGACATTTGAACAACCTGATGATTATAATTATTCTATACTTAGAGCTATTTAAACATGTCTTTTTAAAATATAATTTTAAAATGTGAGATATCTGTTATTGGCTCAGAAATTTGTTTTTCAAACTTTTTCCTTTTTTGTTGTTGTTTAACATTGACTATTTTCCACCATTTGGAGTTTATATCAAGAAAGTAAGCAATTTCCATACTGTTTTGTATTTGTTGCTTGATTCTCAATGCAGCTGTATTTTTTTCATCAAATATACTGCACGCTAATGCTACATTCTGTCTCTCTAACTTTGATGGATAAACCACCTTCCCAGACAATTTTCGAGCTAATTTAACAGTACTATTTTCTTCTTGAAAATGTATTGTTTTTAAGCACTGCAAAATAGAAAACATGTCAGGAAGTGAATTATTATCATTAAATAAAACAGAATTTTTTAATGAACAGAAAACAAATGTTTTCCTGCTGTCATGCTTGTTTAAGCTTCAAAGAGAGTGAACAAAATCGTGCCTTATTTCGTCCACTAGTACGCATCTATTAACAGGACTTATTAAACTGGCTTTAAGGATACTGCAACTCAGTTTCACAGATTATAAAATTATAGGTTTATTTATATATATAGATATACTTCAAACGCTGCAACTCGTACATCGGAGAAAAGGCGATCCGGCCAGAATCTACATATTAGAGAAAGAAACAAAGATGCTACCACTCGCATGAAACTCATATTGATCAAAGCGAGTGTGATCATATGCAGACGGGCTAAAGAGTGGTAGAGAGTATGCAGTACCAGTCGAAGTTTGTTCGGCCGCTCTATCTCATAAACTCATAAGTTATAAGGCTGCTTGAGATGAAGTGAAATTGGAGATTATGTTCGAAGAGCCGCAAACGTCTATGCAAAGAGCCGCTCCTGCCGACTCCTGCCCTAGGCAGATTGCTCAAGCGTTATGTTGTCATAACTTAACAAAACAAACAATATCATCAGTAGGATCTGACTTAATTAATGATTTTATTAGTTACTAGCATTTATACAAACTTTTTATAAAACCCGTCCGTACCCTTAAATCTTTTAGCCTTTTTATTACTGCTAAAAATATGTAAACTTTTTAAATAAATTATGATAACAGATGGCGCCACGAGATGTTGCCGGGAAAGTTAAGCAACTCGTTCCTAGATTGTTTTTAGCAGAGTAAACTTGTTTTAACCAATGGGATTTCTTCATTCAAAATATGCCTGGACCCCATTAAGCTGAAATGTGCCACTGTTGCGTAAGCTGATACGTATTTCTTTCGTCAGTTTTATAATAATTCTTTTTAGTTTTTATGACATCTTTTTTAGAAAATTTTAAATTTTATTTAACGTTGTTACAATATTTATTTACAATTTATTATATCAGGGGTGGGCAAGCAAGAGTTCAGTGGGAGCCGAATTGTAGGTTTTGCAAAATGCATGGGAGCCGCAGTTCTATACTATTTTATTCTGTACCGCAGTTCTGTACCGCGATTTTATGATATAATGTTAATATAATATATTGTTAACACAGGTTTAANCGCAGTTCTATACTATTTTATTCTGTACCGCAGTTCTGTACCGCGATTTTATGATATAATGTTAATATAATATAAAACAAATATTGAATTTTTTTAATAAACATATTTTCACAAAATTATGAAAATAAAATTGTAAAAAAAAATAATAAAAAGCAGAAATGAACACTTTCAGCAAGAGCTGCATGTAACTCAAAAAGAGCCGCATTTGCCCATGTCTGTATTATATTATATTTACAATTTTCGTAATTTATGTAAAATTTTAGTTATTTCAAAGTCATTTATTAAAATCATTAAAATGAAGCAAGAATGCCAAATTTATATTTGCTAAAAAATTTATCTACTTTTTACTTATTATACAGTATATTATTTATAAATAATATATAGTCTATTAAATGTTAAATATTAAATAATATATATTAAATTTACTTCATATTTATTAATGTTGATTATAAATATTAATATTGGTGATGAAACATGTTGTAAGCTTGAGTATAAAGCTTAATAATGAAAATTTTACAACGAATTTTTCAGTGATTGATTCTCTAGGGAAACCATTTGGAATATTTAGTGGAAAATTCTGGTTACACGGAGATTACGATCAATGCTTGAATATTGAAGTTATAGACGATGAGACCAGAAAAAATGATAAAAAATTAAACACACTGCATGGAAAATTTTGTGCATTAACTATTGGATTTAATTCATATGAATTCAATGATGTACCAGTAGATAACAATACTAAAAATATGCTTAGAATGATGAAAGATATTGTTGTAAGTATTTATATAAAAGTTTACAATTATAAAAGCAATCTTATATAAATTATATATAAATTTACATTTACAATATAACATTTACAGAAACCGTTTCCATTGAGTAAAATAATTGATATGGTCAATTACTCCAAAGTATTATTTCGTGTGGATATTTGTGTACCGAGCACGTGTAGTAGAGAAGATGTAGAAAATATTCTTCAATGGGGTAAGTTAATAATATTTTATTTTCTGTAATAAACAGCGCAGTTGCAAGAAAATACAAACAATTATAGACAATGCCATTTGATAGCAAGCACGCTTCTAGGGAACTTTGAAATATATACTTAAAAATTGCATATTGTATCCAATGGTGTTATTGTTACTGTAATTGTTATTCGAATGTTGAAATTATATGTGTGTGAGTGTTTTGGCTTTTGCATTGTTACTGGAATAATAACTTAGTAAAATAAAATCATGTTAGTGGATTTATTCCGTTAATTCTTTCGAATAATAGTTGCATTTAATATCCGAAGAAGAGCGATAACAGTCTTATTCTCGTAGTAAGTGCAACAATACACCGTGATGATGAAAACTGTGGGGAAAGAGATAGAGCGGTTTATTGGAATATATACAGTATATTATACTAAAAATGGGGGATTTTTTCAGCTAGTTCTTATATATTAAAATATGTATGTATACTATTAAATACAGAGAAAAATTTAAAAGATTTATATTTTTTTATCTGACCGTATGCAAAATATAGTGTTCTACAATATTCTGATATAATTCATATAGAAATATAGCATTGGAGGCACAGTGCTAGTGTTGTAACCAGACTGTAATTTTTGCCTGCTTCTTACCCTTTTCAGATTATGAGCATGAGGATATGTATGTATATTTGTATATATGTATGTATGCATGCTTAGGAAAATTTTGCAGGAAAATGGCATAAATTTTCAATATAGTGTATGTGTAAATGTTTTTAAATTACACTTAATATCTCATGAATTCAAAGTACTATTTTACTTTTCTTTCGTATAAAAAGTTATTAGCAGTTCTTTAACTCTTCTTATAATTTACGTTGTTACCCATTTCAGCAATGAAAGATTCATACAGAGCAGCGGTGAAATTCTGCAAAATGAAAGACGATAAGATTCGCCTCTGTACAATTCAAATAATTTGCATGTAAGTGCTGATAATATAATATACAGTAGAGCGTCGATTATCCTAAAATCAATCATCCGAAAGAATTCCAGTCGGCAAATTTAAATTTTCGCCAGTGCTGTGGCGCTGCAATCTTTCGCTATGTCTTGGGCTACTCTAATATTTTACGTTTTTGATACTAAATTAACTTCTGAAGTATAATTTTTTTTATTTTTATATTTTTTCAATATATTTATTTTGTTTGTACAAAATAAAAACATAATTTTTAACGATACGATAGTCTTCGTTAGGCTTAACATCGACGAAAATTCAACGCGAAGCGACACGCAACGGAGAAAAATGTCAAGATGGGATAAATTAATATATTTTTTCGTACATAATCGGTTATCCGAAATATCGATCTTCCGAACAACCCCAGTCCTCAATTGATTCGGATAATTGACGCTCTACTGTATATACTTTTTAATTTTTATAAAAATGTAACAACAGTTAAGATGTTTTTATCATATGTTTTGAATGAAAATTATGAAAATAAATTTATAAATATTTTTAAAATGTGCAATTATTTATGTGAGTAATTCATATAAATAAGTATAATTTATTATGATATTAATACAATAATTTTAATTATTTCAGACAGAAGCGCGAAAAGTTTGTAAATTAAAGATAAAATTAGAAACTTTTGTTTTAAAAATAACCATTTATTTTAAATTAGTTTGAAACTTCATTTTTAAATACTATAAAAAAGTAATATTCTTTCACGAAATTGTTAAAAATATTTTTACAATATAGTAGAATCCGTTTACGAAGTTCATGCTTGAGAGGGTTTCCCACGTAAAAAGTGCAATTTCTTTTCTCTTGGCATTCACAGCATAACATTTGTGTTAAATTTTCCTGCATAACACGTTTTCCCTATAAGAAATTCGAAAATATCAGTCTCATCGACGATATTTTATTCACTTAAGACGTTTATGTTGAAAAGAAATCGTAATCCTTTTTTTTCACCATAACTTTGTTACGTATAAAAATATGGAACAAGGAGTTGCTTAACTTTTCCGGCGATATATAAAACTGCGTATGGTGTCATCTGTTATTAAATTGTAAAACTTTTATATTTTAAATCATTATAAAATATCAAAATGCTTTATTTTGAGAGTAGAGATGACATTCATTTTTTAAAAAGTGGTCGCTAAATCAGCTGGAGTGTTATTGTCTTAAACAAACTGAGTTTATGAACGAATTTCTAATATCCTTGCCCCATGCTGTCTATTAACCACTGACACGTCATATCGACACCAGTCACTTGAATAACTTCTGTAGTTAGTGCACCTTACTATTCTACTATGTTCTACTACGTTATATATTACCTTGATATTGAAATAAAATAAATTTTAAAAAATTATTTATTTTTACAAATTCTCCATTAAATTGTTCCTGCCTAAAAGTTAGTTTATAGTGGTCCCTTCGAAAGCTTTTTAACATGGTTCTACTGTATTTCGTATTTAGTAATTTGCATTTCTAATAGAAAATCTTACGTATATTTTCAGAACTGCAATCAGCATCTTTATCACATGCGTTTTTATTGGAACATTTCTGGAGACTCTGATTATACTGAATATAGTTAATGTTCGTTGCGATAAAGGTATGTTCCCAAATAATATCTAATTGCTATAAATATGGAGTCGTAGTTGTTAATTGTACGTCATTTGTAAAAAAACTTCATTAGTAAAAATTTACAAAGTTAAGTTTTTAATTAGCAATTATTGGTGAATCCCTTCAAAGCAGCATCAAGTTAATGGGTAATTTTTTTGTTCATAGAATTTATGATAATCCACATTAACATCTTGCTCTTATATAGGCTTAGTATAAAAATTTATTTTAAGATTATTGTGTTATGTCAGTTTTTCCTGATTATTATTGCATGTTTTGCACTAGAATGCTGTAAAATTCCTTATGAAAAATATCTCAAAATTACGCAGTTTTACAGCGACTGAAATCATTGATGCTAGAAAATCTTGCAATTCGAAATAATTCACAGTAAAATTTAAGTAATGTTACTTGATATAAATAATATATTTAAATTATCCGAATTTCTACTCTTATCACTTTTCCTCTGAACCGATCAATCGGTAATTGATAATAATTGCATATAAAATATTGTGATTTTCAGCATTAGGCCAAGACTCCACTAGAGTAAAAACGGGCGTAAAGCCCTCGCCTTAAAAGCCTTTAATCATGTCGCCGTAAGCGGGCGTGCAAGGCGTGCACCGCACACGTGCGGCACGTTCAGGGGGCGGCAAATCGAACGATCGGTCACGCAATAATTAGTCATTGTCATAATACCCACCCTACTTATAGCATAAGAAATGTAATCGCATGGAGAAAAAAATCCGACTGGCGCGCAATTACTATATTCTTATTTATTTTATAGCGTTAACAGCGCCTCTATTGGCATTTATCAGAATTAAGATGCAATGCGAAACGTCTGTCGGCAGGTTGAACCATCTGGCGGGCACCCGAAAGCCAAGTACCAATAGTCGTGCTGTATGACAGAAGTTGACAGGTTTGGCGAAAATAGGGAATCCCTACAGAGCTTCCTTCTCAATTTGTACTTGTACGCATTCGAACAGTTCTATTGCATATCAAATTGCAATTATTTTGTTAATAATTCTTCTGACATGGGTCGAAGTATAATTAATGATATTTTAACTTGGTTAGGATTTAAATCTGAAGCTTAAAGACGATTCAAGTAGTGAAACAGACATTGACAGTATTGATTTGTTTAATGAAATCAATACTTTAAAGTTGCATTTTCCAGAAAACCAGTCTAATGATCCACAAACCCCATTACAATATCTTTTTACTTATGACTTAATTTCAACAGTTCCAAACACAGCAATAGCACTAAAAATATTACTTACATTGCCGGTTTCAGTTGCATTTGGTGAAAGGACCTTTTCAAAGTTAAAAATTATAAAAAACTATTTAATTAATTTATTTACTTAAGATCAATAATGCACCAGCAAAGACTAAGTAATTTAGTTTATAGCTATATTTTCAATTAAACATGATATCTTAGACAGCTTGGATACAAGAAAATTAATAGCAGATTTCGCAAACATGAAGGCAAGAGAGTTCAATTTCTGTAGAAAAATATTTATACGGTTTTACACTTAAGTAAATAAAAATAACTTAGTAATAATTAATAGTTCTTTTTGTAAAGTATTTCTTTTCTGTTTTCACACCTTTATAAGACAACACTAAAGAGCCTTTCTGGCAAGCTCAGCGCAGGTAGTCGTAGTTAAACAGGGGGCGGCATAATCGGTATTGCACACGGGCGTTCAAACAGCTAGCGGCGCCCATGCATGTGACCACGATATTTTACGCCCGAGCAGGTCGTGAAACCAGCCGTAAAAGCGAGTTGAGCAGTGTTCAACTTTCAGCGCGAATACGATCGTAAACCGGTTCCATTTACCAATTAGAAGTCAGTGAAATCTAGGTCATTGCGACACGGTGCGAAAATGGCTGAAAACGAGCTTTTGTGTATGTTCTTTCGTGGTTAGTCTAGAATAGATCTGGAAAGATTTATCGAAAACATCCGAAAGTATTCGTATATCTACGACAAGAGGTATCCCGATTATAATAATGGATAGCTATAACACGCGATTGGACGGCCAAAGGAAAATCCTTCAATTTAGAGGAGTATATAATAAAACAGCTAAGCTTACAAGTGCTGTATATTATCTTAATAATACGAAAATAAAACGTAATATATGAAAGTAAGATATTAATTTTACTACATTTGTAATTATAGTACAAAAAAAACTCGTAGAATATAATCATTGTCTTTATATAGATATCATGTATACAACCGTACAGGCATAATTTCGACAGCACTGTCGCCATAAAAACTTAGCTGGCAGGTCCTCCACTGCAATCCGACCGCAAACGCAAATTGGTCACGTGATAAAAAGTTTTTATGGCTAAGGTTTTTACGCCCGTTTTTACATCAGTGGAGCCTTGGCCTTAAAGATACAAGACATAAGTCTTCTAATATAGAAAGATATTTATAATTTTACGAATATATTTAAAATTATTTTTTAATTTACTTAAATATAGNAAGATCAACAATGCACCAGCAAAGACTAAGTAATTTAGTTTATAGCTATATTTTCAATTAAACATGATATCTTAGACAGCTTGGATACAAGAAAATTAATAGCAGATTTCGCAAACATGAAGGCAAGAGAGTTCAATTTCTGTAGAAAAATATTTATACGGTTTTACACTTAAGTAAATAAAAATAACTTAGTAATAATTAATAGTTCTTTTTGTAAAGTATTTCTTTTCTGTTTTCACACCTTTATAAGACAACACTAAAGAGCCTTTCTGGCAAGCTCAGCGCAGGTAGTCGTAGTTAAACAGGGGGCGGCATAATCGGTATTGCACACGGGCGTTCAAACAGCTAGCGGCGCCCCTGCATGTGACCACGATATTTTACGCCCGAGCAGGTCGTGAAACCAGCCGTAAAAGCGAGTTGAGCAGTGTTCAACTTTCAGCGCGAATACGATCGTAAACCGGTTCCATTTACCAATTAGAAGTCAGTGAAATCTAGGTCATTGCGACACGGTGCGAAAATGGCTGAAAACGAGCTTTTGTGTATGTTCTTTCGTGGTTAGTCTAGAATAGATCTGGAAAGATTTATCGAAAACATCCGAAAGTATTCGTATATCTACGACAAGAGGTATCCCGATTATAATAATGGATAGCTATAACACGCGATTGGACGGCCAAAGGAAAATCCTTCAATTTAGAGGAGTATATAATAAAACAGCTAAGCTTACAAGTGCTGTATATTATCTTAATAATACGAAAATAAAACGTAATATATGAAAGTAAGATATTAATTTTACTACATTTGTAATTATAGTACAAAAAAAACTCGTAGAATATAATCATTGTCTTTATATAGATATCATGTATACAACCGTACAGGCATAATTTCGACAGCACTGTCGCCATAAAAACTTAGCTGGCAGGTCCTCCACTGCAATCCGACCGCAAACGCAAATTGGTCACGTGATAAAAAGTTTTTATGGCTAAGGTTTTTACGCCCGTTTTTACATCAGTGGAGCCTTGGCCTTAAAGATACAAGACATAAGTCTTCTAATATAGAAAGATATTTATAATTTTACGAATATATTTAAAATTATTTTTTAATTTACTTAAATATAGATGTAAGAGTTATATAATTTTAAAATATTTCATAACACTTATTTAACGACATTTATGTATTATAATTACAGAACTGGAAAAAATTTAAAGTTTTTCATATAAGAAATAACTGAAACGTGTTATTACTGTAAACATCCTTAGCTTAAGAAACGATAAAGATGGTTAAAATTATTATAATTATTTTAACAAGATTATAATATTTCAGCTATGTCAAATCATTAATAATAATTGAATATTTATTATAATCAATAATTGTAATTATAATTAAAAGTATTATTAAAGATATTACTAATCTGGAATACAGAATTATTACAGCGATTATAATACCTTGTATTATAAAGCAGGAGGTACAGCGAGGGAAAAAGACATACTACATATGTACTGTACAGTGCATTATAATTCGTTCTGTAATACTGGATACAGAACGAATTATAATAGCGGATTGCAATTATAGGATTGCAATAAATTTACTGTAATCCTATAATTGTTAATCTTTTTACAGAGTGTTATTTTGAAAACCAAGATAATTCAAAATAAATTACAATAAATTTATTTAAGGTACTTGAATTTGACTTGTATGATTGTTATTATGACGTATTATGGGTAGGAGAGTTGCAGCATAAAAAAAAATCAATGCTAGGTAAAAGTTAAAAACTCTACGAAGTGTTAAAACATTGTGTCGTCATTATACGTCAGAAAAAATGTACACTTTTGTAAAAGTATAGTAATTGCTCTTTTAATAATTTGAAATATAAAAATGCTTACAATTACTAACAAAGTGTGTNGTTAAAACATTGTGTCGTCATTATACGTCAGAAAAAATGTACACTTTTGTAAAAGTATAGTAATTGCTCTTTTAATAATTTGAAATATAAAAATGCTTACAATTACTAACAAAGTGTGTTTATAAACGAATTTCTATTAGTAATTTCAAAATCAATTATTATTATTTCACGACTTTTGTAGATATAGAACAATAGTAATTCAGCAGAATATAAAGAATATTTTAATTCTTAATCTAATCGAAAAATTATACAATAATTATCCAGAAGTTTACAGACAGTGTTTTTGAATTCTGCCATAAGAGGGCGTGTCTTGGTAACCTTTAAGATACTGCTATCCCACCAGTGGCCAAGCGGTTCCATTTCCTGAATACTGGGAGTTCGTTGAGGGTGCGTGCCTCGCCCAGACAAGTTGGCCATGTGAAGTTTCCGAGTTTTCTTCATGTCTGTAACGCTTGAATAGGAGCCAATTACCCTTAAGTTTACTTAATTTTAATTTTTATCAGTTCTAAAACATATTTCCCCATGATAGATGTAGCGTAATTTTTTCTTTACGTCAGAAAAAATGTACACTTTTGTAAAAGTATAGTAATTGCTCTTTTAATAATTTGAAATATAAAAATGCTTACAATTACTAACAAAGTGTGTTTATAAACGAATTTCTATTAGTAATTTCAAAATCAATTATTATTATTTCACGACTTTTGTAGATATAGAACAATAGTAATTCAGCAGAATATAAAGAATATTTTAATTCTTAATCTAATCGAAAAATTATACAATAATTATCCAGAAGTTTACAGACAGTGTTTTTGAATTCTGCCATAAGAGGGCGTGTCTTGGTAACCTTTAAGATACTGCTATCCCACCAGTGGCCAAGCGGTTCCATTTCCTGAATACTGGGAGTTCGTTGAGGGTGCGTGCCTCGCCCAGACAAGTTGGCCATGTGAAGTTTCCGAGTTTTCTTCATGTCTGTAACGCTTGAATAGGAGCCAATTACCCTTAAGTTTACTTAATTTTAATTTTTATCAGTTCTAAAACATATTTCCCCATGATAGATGTAGCGTAATTTTTTCTTTACGTCAGAAAAAATGTACACTTTTGTAAAAGTATAGTAATTGCTCTTTTAATAATTTGAAATATAAAAATGCTTACAATTACTAACAAAGTGTGTTTATAAACGAATTTCTATTAGTAATTTCAAAATCAATTATATTCGTAATTCTATTGTAGTGCAGTTTCGTAGTTCATGTAGTATATTAATGGCGGCGCGACAGTGGCGCCACAATATAGGAAAATACATGAACCTTCTCTGGAAACATGTGAATAGGCTACATGTAATATAATAAATGATTTGAATTTTTAATATAAGTATTTGGCATGATGGTCTAAAATAAATAGAAAATACACAATTAGAATAGCATTTCAGTATGTACCGTACTTTGCCAATATTAAAATATATATGAAATTACAGTCATCTCTTTTTCCTCCGCATTATATAAATATTAACTCTCGTTAAAAGTTCATGTTTTTGGTTTAAAGTTGTAAAAACAAAAACAAGTTTACCATACAACATTTCTATAATCTTAACCTTAACAGTTATCAGCCGTTATATAATTCTTATTTAAAGGTGTATTAAAAGTATCACAATGACTGATCGAAAAATTCAGACACTTAAAAAGGTTACTGGTAAAGCAACTCCTTTAAAATATCGAGAAAACTCTGTAGATTTCGGAAAGAATTTAACAAAATGTTTCTTCTTCTTCAATGTTACTTGTGTACTAAGGCAACTGATATCACCTGCTTCAAAGTTTAAAAACAAACTCCCGTCTACACTCTTATTCTTCACTTTCTCTCCCTTTACCTTACATATTGTAATTTTACTATTATATTATTATTGTTATTAGACTACTCTAATAAATTCGTTTGTAATTGTATCAGTTTATGAAATTAGTATTTTCTTTCTCTTCAGGGAAAATTTTACAGAGCTGCGTTTCAGTATCCTTAATTACATCGAATCAAAAACTTTTCACTACCGACTTCAATAACGAGACAAGATTTATTTGTGGAATTAAATTCTTACTTACGTGTATCGTAGTTTTTGCACATATTTTCGTATTTTCGGGATTTGTATATACAACAGCAGGTAAATGAAAATTAATTTTTAAAATTTACAGATAATTTTTAATAATTAAATTCGTAATAATTATAAATTTTACTGTATATACCAGACATGGGCAAATGCGGCTCCGAGAGCCACATGCGGCACTTTTTGAGTTAGATGCGGCTCTTACTGAAAGTGTTCATTTCTGCTTTTTATTATTATTTTTACAATTTAATTTTCACAATTTTGTGAAAATATGTTTATTAAAAAAATTCAATAATTGTTTTATATTATATTTATATTATATAATAAAATCGTGGTACAGAACTGCGGCTCCCATACATTTTGCAAAATTTACATTTCGGCTCCCACTGAATTCTTGCATGCCCATCCCTGGTATATACCATATAGCATTATTTTATATAAAACATTAAACATTTTATACATCAAAACATCACGAAACCCGATAAACTTGTAAAGCCAAACAACCACCGGATTACATCAGGCTACTTTTCCGCGATTATATATAATTACAGTAGAGCATCAATTATCTGAATACCGATCAACCGAAGCATCGGTTAACCGAAAGCGTTCAAGTTCTAGTCGGCAAATTTAAATTTCCGCTAGAGCTGTTGCGCTGCAATATTTGGTTATGTCTTGGGCTACTCCTATATTATTTTTATTGGTCTGCGTGTTTTAGCTGGCAGCTCTGGCGCGACTATATTGTATCGTTTAAAATTATTTTTTTATTTTTCACAAACAAAATAAATGTATTGAAAAATATAAAAACAAAAAAAATTATATTTCAGAAGTTAATGTAGTATCAAAAAGTTCTGATTCAGCACAACACAAGTCGAGAGGGTACTTAAGGACACGCCAGTATTTGAAGGAGGCTTTTTTTCTCCCATTGTGAGTGGTGTGTTTTGCTTCAGCTTGTCAGAGAATATAGCCTAAGTGGCTGACATCTCGAGATAAACCAAAGAAAGAGAAACAGTTTTTCTTGTTTTGTGTGGTTCTTTTCTAAGGACTGTGTGTTGGGACGTGTGTCTTGCTAAATCGAAACGTTTTTGATACTAGATTAACTGACGAAATATAATTTTTTTTCTTTTTTTCAATATATTCATTTTGTTTCTGCAAAATAAAGAAATAATTTTTAACGATACAATAGCCCCGATTACTATTTTAAGAAATTTTCGTTAGGCTTAACATTGACGAAAATTCAACACGAATCGACACGCAACGGTGAAAAATTTCAACATGTGGTAGGTTAATATATTTTTTCATACATGATCAGTTATCCGAACAATACCAGCCCCAATTGTTTCGGATAATCGATGCCCTATTGTAATTATAATTAAACTTAATAAGAGATGATGCTTAACGCTACCCTCTAGTAACAAATTATTTAGTAATTAATTAAATATAATTGCTGAAAAGTAGCCCAATGTAATTCGGTGATTACTCAGCATTAGAAATTTTCAGGGCTGTGGTGTCGGAATTGGAGTCGGAGTCGTCAAAAAATCCGCAAATCCGATCCTTTTTACTTACCAACTTGTTATGTATATAAAACGGAAATGTATTGGAATCGTGTCAAATTTGACACTCCAAGTTTTTTTTTGCAAATCTACACGTTTCGCGACCTCCTGAACCCCTCAAAATAGTCAATAAAAGGGAAAAAATTTGCGCTCGTGTGTGTTGGCGTCTAATTTGTTTAATTTCTTTATTTTTGATTTGAGATATTAAACAATATCTCAGAATGGGTTAAGTTTAAGAAACGAAATGCGGCACTGTAGTTTGCTTATAAAGGAGCATTAATACTATTAAATTTTGGTACTTAATTGAAGGTCGACAGGGTGAAGACATAAAAGTGGTCATGTGTCATATCTCTGAATGAATATTTTACTCGTTATTAGCGTTCAAAATTAAAAATAAAATAAAATAAAACTCGTCTCTACCCTCAAAGTAAGCTGTTTTGTCATTTTATAATAGTATAGTAAAACCCGTTAAGATGTTCTCGCCTAAGATGTTAAAATTTATACGGGGACATGATTTAGTTCAACCACTTTGACGCTTAATAACCTACTCCTGTGTTAAACCATCTGAATCCGATTCTGACCACCCTGACCACAGAAATTATTAGGCTTCAAACATAGTGAACAAAATCATGTCCCCCCAAACACAGTCTAACATCCAAACATATAGAAAAAAACCTCGAATCTTTCGCATAGCTCGAAATTTCAAGGTGTCCTGAGTCCAAAAGTATAAAAATTTGAAAGGGGTCATTTTTTGATCAAGCGCTACACTTTTCTTCTGTTATATATAACAGCCGGAAAAGTAAAAATTGTCGAAAACATATTTATATATTACTTAGAGGAGTCTTTTAGCTTTTGGAATAAAAAGTTTCTACGCTCTATTTTTATTAGAACTCTATTTATTGAATCTTTTATTCTGAGGTCACGTGATGACATCAGAATTTCCGGGTCTCTTTCGGTAACAAATCCGCCCCTACTCGGAGTCGGCGTAGGATGGTAAGAAAAAGTCGGAGTCCGAGTGGGAATCGGTAGATTTTTACGCGACTTCATAGCCCTTGAAATTTTAAAATAATTTCGTTTATTCTTTTGTTGCAAAAAATTGACTGAACTTACTGTTATTATTTTGGTTGATCATTACTTACGTGGACTGTCATGGCTGCACTTCCGTAATCTCGACAGCAAGCATCTTTTGAATTTCAATGTAGGCGTCGCTGTTAGCCAAAAAATCATGTAAATAAAATTTATTTAATTATAAATTATAAAACTACATTTTAAAAATACAGTGATACCCCGAACTTACGCGATAGGTGAGACAGAGCGATAACGGCGTAAGTGGAATTCGCGTAAGTCGGGGTATAATTTCGCAATTTGTGTAAAATCCAAGTTGCGGTATGTAAGCGATGTTCAAATCTCGTCGAATCGTCTTTTGTTTGAGCGCCAGGCAAGGATTGCTTGATTACTCACTCCCCCACACTATTGTTCAGCTTACATGTTCGGATGTTTCGCACGGAATCGACGCATAGCTACAATTTATTTTGTGTTATTTATTTCTGTGTATTTTATATCTACGGAGACTTGAGAGACTCTATGTGGTGATTTCTTGTAACTGTGAATAAATCAAAAGACGAGATAAGATTAACGAGAACATTTATTAGCTTACATACCTCCAACTTGGATTTTACTCAAATTGCGAAATTATACTCCTAATTCGACTTACGCGTTTATCGCTCGGTTCCACCTATCGCGTAAGTTCGGGGTAACACTGTAGTTAAAATTGGTTAAGAACAAAATGAATGACAATCAACTCAATAATCATTTACTGAAAAAGTTAAAAAATGAAAATAATGAAAAGAATAATGATCAATAGAAACGACGAGAAAACTATGAGTAATAACAAACTTTCTATGTGAAAATGCAAAAATAGAACCAGGAAAGAAAAACAAAACTTTCTAGGGAACTAAAGATGAACATACTAACGATTGCAAAAACAGAAAAATGTAATTGACATATAATTACAACTGCATCAACCAATGTAATGTTAAATGTGAAGTTAATAACACTTAATGAAATCAGAACCAGTGTATGAAATAATGTTAGTAAACAACCAAAATATTCTGAACAATGGAACAAGCTGTTGGATATAGTCAATAAAATAATCGAGAATTCTGATGAAACAGTTTCTGTAAGAATGAAAATAAAAAATCTTGCTGCTATTTGTCTTAACAATTCTACTAATAAGCATATTTCTTCTTCCAACAACTTTGGGTCATCCGACGCAAAGATATGGATGGATGACAGAAGAATTAATGCTAGACTGCCTACAAAATGTTTAGATATGACGTTTTGGCACACTTCTATATCACTTATCGACTTTTTCCTTCAACTCATTGAAACGACACGAAAGGGTTAAAATAAGAAAGAAATAACGTGAACTAAAAGCAAGCACTTCCAGATTTCTGGAGAACGACTGCTATTTTTTCAGCCTTTTCATGTCGACATAAACAGGTCTTACAGAAATAACTCCAGAACTTATGACGAATGGTTTTCCGACAATTGACGGTAACTAAGAAGGTCAAAGATGAAAAACCCTACAAACTCTCAAATTGCATTTTTCCGTTTAGAAGAGTATTTGTGATTTGTCCATCAAAAAGTCGTTCAGAAAGTCATGCATTTCTCAGTCCATAGTCATCACCCAGGGTGATTCATTGAAGTCAGGTGATATCAGAGAGAAACAAAAATGACAGATTTAGAGAATGACAACATTGACGTTATTCGTCATTTCACTTCAAAGTCGTGGACTGCTTTGAAGTCTGTAGAGCTGATGGAGTTGAGGCGTAAAAGATTTCGAACACTATTCACTTCTTTATAGGTATTTTTTTCCCATACTACGTATTTCGAAATTTCATGCCACTGCATACCAACATAATGTTCACAAATGTTGTGTCGTAAAAATCAGACGTGACAATGACAATGTCAACGCTCGACGACACACAACACCCAATACATCGTGAACTATAACTTTTGGGATCTTCACGTTTTGAAAATAGAGTACATTCGATTGTTCATAAAAATGGAGTAAACAGATCTAAAAGCGTGTTTTTTTTTTCATTTTCCAATCTCTTTATTTTTCATAACTCAAAAGGAAAAAAGGAACTCGAAAGGAAAACAACATAAATTTATTTAAATTAAAATTTAATTGTTACATTAATTATGTATACAAAATTAATAAGACTGACTTGTTCAATTTACTTTATACAAAATATCTTTGTAAAATATATTAATTACTCATTCATCTGCCTTTCAATCTATATAATGGTGTATATAGTAACTTTTTTGGAGTTGTTATATACAGCAAAGGAAAAGTATGGGGAATCGGTCAAAAAATAACCCCCTTCCAGAATTTTGCATTTTTTTTTTACTCAGGGGCTCTTCAATTGTTTACAAATGCAAAAAAATTTACAGGTTTTTTCTGTATGTATGGACGTTAATGAGTGCATGAATTTGTTCAGTCTCTTTGAAACTTAATATCTCTT